AGGATCAACTTGTTGAGATCTTCAATCTGGTGGTTTAGCTTGGCGCACTCTCCTTCAAACCATTGAAGCCGTTCCTGTGCTGCATCGAGATCTTTTCGAAGACTGTTCTCGCGGTCCAGGGCTGCCTTAGAAGCTTGTCTCTCGCCAGCGACCTCGGCTTGCATTCTTGCCTCCTCAGCCTGTGTCTTCGCCACTCGAAGGCGGCGAATCTCTTGTCTTGCTTCGTCACGTTCTTTCTCAGCAGTAGTCCGAGCCTCCATTGTTCTCCGTAAGGTATCCTGCTGGGCATATAGTTCCTTCTCGATGATGATTTTTGACTCATTAAGACGATCGAATTCATCCTTCAGCTCTTGGTAGCGGTGCTCACCGAGCAGTTGGACGTCATCTCGAGACTGGCGTTCTCGACTCAGATCCATCTGTGTCTTGTACAGCTCATCCTTCAGATCCTTTATTTGTGACTCGAGGACTTGGCGATTCTGATCGGCTTGTGCGTCCTCCGACAGACGTGCTTCCAACAAGTTCTTTGCGTCTTCGGCCTCTCGCTCCAGTTGAGATTGCCGAGACTTCATGGCTACAAGTTCAGCTTGAGCCTCACGGTACTTCTCGGCGTTTTTCTCCTTCTCAGTGGTCAGAGACTTTTTCTGATCCTCAAGAGACTGACGCTCGCTTTCGAAGTTCTTGTTGTCGGTTCGCAGAAGAGCAAGTTCACTCTCCTTTTGTCGAACAAGATCTTCGTAATCAGTCGACGTCTTGGAGAGCTCGTTGAGCTGTCTCTGGATATCTTCGTTCTCATGAGTAAGTTGAGTTTCTCGGAGCTTGGTTGACTGAAGCTCTCTTTGAGCTGCGTTGAGTTTAAGCTCCGAATCTTGGTCGAGCTTCACAAGCTTGGTCTCCAAATCTTGAACCTTCCTTTCCTTGACCGATAGTTGACTCTGAAGCATCTTGATTTCATCTTGGAGGGCAAGTTCTTGCTCGCTACGTTCGGCCTGCCTCTGAGTTATGTCAGCCATTGATTGTTCAACTTCGCTGATCTTTGTGCTCAGTCCCTTCTTCTCCTCCTCAAGCTTAGCAATGAGGGTGGCAGCTTGCTCGAGCTGAGAACGATACGTTTCGACATCTCGTTCCGCCCGGTTCTTGGCATTAATAAGGTCGTCTAACTCGTCTTCTAGCCTTTCCTGGTCTTCAATTGCTCCTGCAAGCTTCTCCTCGAGCTCCGCTTCTCGAAGCTGAAGCCTCTTGAAAATTTCCTCTTTGTCTAAAGCAAGCGCGCGCTCACTCTCAAGAGTTTGCTGGATTCGGACCATTTCAGCGTGACAATTTCGCCGTTCCTCCTCAAGCTTCATACGATTTTGGGACTCCAGTTGCATCCTTTCGTTCAGATCCTTGATCATTGCATCCCTTCGCTTGACTTCTGTGGCTGTACGAGTGGTACCAAGAAGAGGCTTCATTTTCACAATCAGCTGCCACCATGGATTTTCCGCCAAGTCCAGGTAAACGTTAAAGTTTCTTTGGATGATTCTGGTGGCCTCGGTGCGAAACAGCCTCTTATAGGCTGCCCGCCTTTGTATAAACCCTCGAGCGACCGATTGAAATCTGGACATAATTTGGGTGATTAGAGCATCTCGTTGTTCCTCAAGCTCTGCAAGGACACCCGCGCGGAAGAAGACTTTGGTCAAGCCCACCCGGTATAAAGCGCGGTCAAGTCCAAGCTTTTCAAGCATAAGACTGGCCGCGGCCTGTCCTTCGAGATATCCTTTGGGCATATCCTGGCAAAGGACCTCATATCGCTGTCGAAATTCTGCAAAGGGAAGTCTGTTGGGGAAACCAGTCCTCGCGATTCTAATACCTTCCAGAACACCATTGCAGCGTAATTGGTCAAGAACAAGGAGATTGTTGAACTGCTTTGGCTTCTTTTTATGGTTGGGGAGGATGCATCGAACAAAATGAGGGTGGGTGGAGTGGAGTTGTGCCATGAGACTGTGAAGATGCTCCTTGTGTTTCTGGGCGACTGTTCGGAAGAGCCCTCGCTTGACTCTGCTTCTTCCAGTGGCATGATCCTCCTCAGATTCAGCACAGTCAGAAAACAGGGAAGCGACGTGCTTGTTCGATGAAGCAGCTAGAAGGCGGGTGATGTTATCATTCAGAGGATCTTTGTTTTTCTCTAACCATCCTTCTGTAGAGTACTCGACCTCGGCAGCGTAGTGAGTGAGAATGAAACCCTGACCTAGACGCGAGGGTCGATATTTCGTTGATTTCTTGTCCCATAAAGAATTGAGCTTCTCAGTGAATGACTTGTCCGTAGCTTTGGGCATAACGCAATCCTCATCTAGGCAAGAAAAGACACCGATTGGATTCGACAGTTCAATCAAGTCAATCGTGGGCTGCAGATCACGACCAAAATCGATGAATTTCCATTCAATCTGCTCACGTGCATATTCTTCTTGTTCCAGGACAAACATGTGATGATTGAAGAATTGCTGCAACTTTTCGTTGGTGTAGTTGATGCATAGCTGTTCAAAGCTATTCTGTTCGAAAATCTCAAAACCGGCGATATCGAGTACTCCGATAAAGTGAGAATCCTCCAGACCCATGCCAGTGCGATCAAGCTGCCCGTTGATTCTGTTGACGAGATCGCCGAAACCGCGTTCATATATGCCCTTTGAAAGAGCGTCTAAACCAAGTCGAACTTGCTCAGGGGTTTGTACCTTCTCAACCCATTCTCGGCCTGCCTTGACTTTGGGGTGGAGGAGACCTTTCAAGAAGGGCTCTAATGGTACACCAAGAAGCTTACACACTTTTGCGGCTTGCTCTTTTGCATCCGGTGCCAGACGGGCTTGGTCTGCAGTGCGGCTTTCCTTGACAACGGTGATGTTGCCCAGGTGTAGCACCGCGGCCACAGTTCGCAAAATAGACCTCTGCTCTTCATCCGAGAACCCCATCACGTTAAATGCTTCCATGAGGGATTCCCATTCATCATGGTCTGAGACACCCACGATTGTGTCGTGGCCATCCCTGGTATAATTGAAATCTTCGACGGTAAGACCATCGATCAAGAATTCCCTCTTCAAGCTGGAGCTTGCACCTTTGAGAAGTTGGTAGAATACGTGGTAATTTCGTTCGTGGGGGTTGATATGTACTACTCTGGACTTTTCTAGCAGATACCAGTCGATATATGCGCCACAAATAGCTCCATTTCGAGTAAATTCAATGCGAATGAATTTTCCGAATCGTGAGGAATTGTTATTGCGGACTGTCTGAGCGTTTCCGAATGCCTCGAGAATTGGGTTTGCTCGAAGAATTTGTTGTGAGAGGTTAGAATGGTGAGGTTTGTTCTTGATTGTCGAGTCTGCCTGAGCAACAGCAGCGAGGTATTGAATGACCTTTTTCGTGTTCTCTGTCTTGCCTGCGCCGGATTCGCCAGTCACTAAAATGCTCTGGTTCTTCCCCTCTTCCACAAGATTGCGGAAGGCTTCATCAGCCATAGCAAAAATATGAGGTTTCGTGTCCTCTCTGTTCCGCCCACGATACATGTTGATGTATTCGTTGCTGTAAATAGGAATCGAGGCGTACGGGTTGACGGTAACAAGGAAAAGGCCTGAGTACGTATAAATCAAATCGGCCTGGTATCGCATGTGAAGGTTGTGGACAACTGATGCCTCGTTCAAGTGTGTCAACTCGGCCATATCGTTTGCCTTGTCGAACTTGGCAGGGTTCACTTTGTCAACACTCTCAGCATCGACGCCTCTTTGCTGAACAAATGTTAATATACGGAACGTCAATCATCGGCTGATACTTACAGTGCCGTCATCGCATTGCACTAGTAACCGATTCCCATCCATTTCTTCGACGATCCATCCCCGGACGAATGCGGCTTGCGGATCCTTAAGCCAGACGTAGCGCTTCCCGGAGAAGTCATTTTCGCCTTCGATACCCTTCACTGTATCATGGCGTTTCATCTCCTCAGTCTTGATGAATGACGGTGCAAATGTCGTCGATGTTGGAGTGCCGCTCTTGGAGTCACTGCGTTGCTGTCTCGGCGCTGAGCCGGAGAAGCCATGAGTTATTGCTGATAATGATCCATTCGACTGTGTCCGGCTGTGTCCTGGAGGTGTAGAGAGCCCAGGAGTTGATGAAGGGGAGGAGAATATGGCTGACTTGGGTCGCAAGTTGGTATTCGTAGCTGGAGAGGCAGAAGTCGTTCTCGCAAAAGGATTACTGCGCCGATGCGCTGTGCCATTGGCATTGGCGTTGAAAGACATCGTGATGAGCCCACATGAACAATTGGTTGTATTGCGGTCTTCTCGACCAGAGACTCAACTCCGGGTTGTGTGATTACGCAAAGTAAACAAATCAGGCAGGGTCGAGAAACAATAGGGAAGCGCAGTTTCTGGTCTTCCAGTTATTAAAAGGCGAAATTATAACAAAGGTGTGGTCGGGATTCACCCTTTCATGAACATGCCATGAAGCAATGCAATGCAAATGCAAGTATTGGGATAGCACAGTTGGGCATGGAAAGACATTAACATCATCGATCTATTCAGCGCGTTGCCAGGGACAGCTGACGGGGAGTAAACAAAGCTATGTCATGTGATCTAAGCGCCCGGCCCGCGCTAAGCCGCATGCGACTAGACGCGACGCATATTCCTGTCAAAGACAACTCGGGATTATTCCTTCAATACGGAGTACAGTACCTACTCTATCACGTCTAGGGCCGCTTGCCAACGAAACCTTTCGACAAGCAGACCAGTCAACGTACAAAAAGAAGAAGTCACGGTGTTGACTGTTATGACTCATTACGAACTCTCGATTTCGAACTGCAACTTTCACTGCTCGGGGTTTGCATATTGAGATCACAACGAATAAATTGACCCTTGTCCCGACTCATTCACCCCGAAAAGCTCTAACGCCTGACCGTAAGTCTGAATTAGCATCTGATTTTCTCGCCGACGCGATCGGGTACGCCATCTTTGCTTTGCGAAAACTTGGAATTATCCTCACAAATGAGCCGGTACGTGTATGGCCATGGTGCGGCCCAGGGCTACCAAACCTCGCAGCCCTACGCGTACTCAGCAAACGAACCATATAATCCTACTTTTTATCATAACGACGCAGCTGTGACTCAACCGACTCACGGCCAGGAAGTTGCGGAAGCGTATGAGTATAATCAGACTGCCATTCCAGGTTTAGGAATGAGATTTTCGCAGGACACTGCGAACTGGCAACCAACATTACCTCAGAAAATCCCCGATGTTCAGATAGACTCGACTAGTGCCACGACAACGGGTGTGACCACAAAACCCGATTACAACAACGCATCCAGCCATTCGATAACATACAACTCGCGGTCGACTATGGCAATGGATGTGGATACAATGGAAGACGGTGAGCTCAGTGAAGGCGAACTCGAAGATATATATGAACCCAACGGGATAGATGGCCCCGCTACCGAGAATAATGGCCCCCAACCGCCAGGTTCTACAGCTGCCAAGCAACACATGACCGAGAACCTGCGAAACAACCACGATGTCGAGAAACAAGCTTCGAACTCAAAGCAGCCCGGTCGCGAACGTTCTGGCTCGTACTCGCCGTACCTCTCTCCCCGTGAAATAGAATCCAACGGCTCGGAAAACGCCAGGTCAAATACGCGTATGTCTAATTGCTTGGCACTTTGTGGTGATGCTAATTCGACCAGATGACTCAAGCATTGCCAATGGCCGTGCAATGACGGAATCAGGAACAGCCATGAAGACGACAAATGCTAATGGAGGCGAGTACAGCTCAAGCCCAAGGCCTGACACAAGCCATATAGATGCAATTATCTCGGAATATAAGAAAAGGGCTGAAAAGGCTATTTTACACCTCTGGCCACTCAATGTTCGATATCACAACTATATCGAAGAAGGAATTGATCGGGCACTGCTGGATGAGCTTTTCGGGGAAATGGGCCTCGACTTGGAGGCCAATACCGAAATCCAAGGAGAAGCAAAACGCCCCTCGATGGCAAAAGTTGCTGAAGCACCAAGTAATGCCCCCGGTCAAGAGAGTGCTTCAACTGCAACAAGCACGGCCGCCGCTGGGCTTAAGGGCGTGGAGCAGACCAAAGACAAGTCTGAAGAACGGAAGGACCGTATCGCCCGTTTATTGGCTGCCAAAGGCTCCAAAACAACCGCTGGAGACACTGATATCGCGAAGCCTTTACATCCGATGTCATTATTGCCAGGCGACGCAAAAACAGACAAGACTAAAAGTCAATCGGAGAAGTCGAAGCTGATCCAGCAAAAGATGGAGGCATTAATAAGAGCGCGGGAGGCAAACGCGAAGGCGGCACCCCCAGCTCATGCACCCTCAGAGCCTCACTTACCTCCGCCAATAACTGAAACCAGCAGGTCGCAAAGTCTTGCGCGTGCTGATTCTGTGAATATTGATGAGCAAACAGAAGTCAACGCTGACATTGCGGATCCAGCAACTGCACCTTCTATTCCTGGCTTATTCCTGTCGTCAAACGCACCCTCTCCTGTTCCTCATCAGCGCAAACGACCTGTTGCAGCGGAGTTGAACGAGAACTCCACGGCCATGTCCCACAAGCGCCCGTTCGGCCAGACTCGAGAGTCTCGTCCATTCCTAATCGATGTGAGCGACGATGAAGACGATGCTGAGATGGAAATTGATTCTCCTGAGTTACGGCCTTCGTCAATACAGCAGCCTATGACGCCTGGTTCAAGAACAGCGTCTTTCCGTGATCATCCAGCTCTGCCAGACAGTGCGTCACATCGCGTTGTTTCCAGTCCGAAGACTGCGGGGACTCCCGCCACAAGTGCTAATAGCATGTATGATCTTAAGAGTATGAACAAAAAGATTGAGGATATGAAACGAAAAATTGCCGAGGCCGAGGCTCGTAAGAAGGCCAAACAGTCCGGCAATAATTCACCTTTGCCTCAGTCTGGATCGCCTTCAAAAGAGGGTAGCGTCGACATTCCGACCCCGCCAGGACCTGCTGTAAGGCGCGCTCTATCGACAAATACTGAAATGGCTCAAGGTAGCCCGGCGTCAAGTGTGCACAATTCTCCACATGCTATTACCAAGTTGCCTAAAGCAAGAGACCAATCAGTGACAGCAAGATCTTCGCTGCGTGCTCGAGTTGCCAGCGAACGCCTGTCTGTTGTCGAGGCTCGGCGAAAGGCACAAGCCAAGCAACTCCAGCATCTATACTCCGAAGCCGCTAGACTCGAGAACGAGATTCAGAAGAGCTTGGCTGAAGAAGAGCGGTTGAAGGAAGATGCCGCAGAAAATGAGTTGAACCCGTCAACTCCGAACGAGTCTGAGCTGGAGAATTTCCAGAGGGACGGCTTAGATATGGTGACAAATGGTTAGCATAATTGATTCTGTACGTGTTCTATGCTGATCTCGAATTAGCTCGGAGTGCCTCTCAAGAGACAAACTCGAAAGAAACATTAACTCAACTTGCAGAGAACGAAAAAGTGAATCTCTCTTGCGATGAGGTTGAGCCAGACGCCTCGATGGACCAAGCCTCGAGCATTGAGCCGACTCTTGACAAGGAAATGATAGACGAACCTCCTCAAGTTGAACTGCAAGAACTTGAGGATCGTAGGACAAAAGAGGCTGCTGTAACCGGTAGCCTCTCTGCATTGGCAACAAGATCTTCCACCACACACGATACAGCCGGCACATCTGATGATCCTGCCATGGATGGAGCTGAAGAGGCCGAAGAAGATGTGGCAATGGAAGAGAACGATACTTCGAGCGAGGAGGAAGATACCGATGACTACGAGCCAACGCATGTCGGCGTTCGTCTACCAGACCCGCAGTCCCCTGTTTCCCGGCATTCTTCGTCCCCTCATGCACCACTCGATCATGGAGTGCTGGAAACAAGTGATACTGACATACAGGGCATGGCAATGACAACTCCAATCACTCAACCGATCTCACTCGGGGATGGAGATACGGAATCTGAAACGCATCGAGAAGTATACAAACTTGGTCTGTTCTTGGGTTGCAAAGCTAACTCCTTACAGGCTGAGGTCCAAAAGGCACCGCGAGTTGGTGAGAAAATCGACAAAACCACATTCGTCCCATATGAGACGCCCCTTCAATACTTTAGGGCTTATCGCTTCCATCCTCAGTACAGCGGCTCGGTCGCCGGGGGGTTACGCTCTTTGACCTACAGCAATAAGATCGACGTAGCAAGGGAAGTATGCCCTGACCAGCTTATTGAAGGAGCTTGCCCTAAAGGCAACGAGTGCCAATTCCAGCATTTCGAAAACATGCAGGTTCCGGGTACGTGCCATCATGATCCACGAACACACAACCATAAACAAGCGAGGGCGCATGCCAGTGGAGGGAACGCTAACATGCCGAGCGGCAATAGATGATCAAATTCTCCTTCAACTTGGTGCTTATGGCAACTGCGAGGCAGATCAACATGATCAGTACGTTGAAGGACTTCGCAAATTGCTTACAGACTTTCGCAAACGCAAGGTGAAGGACTTCGATACCATCAGCAACGGTATTATCGAGTATCGCGCGAAGTTTCTCGGCGACAAAACGAAAATTCTACCATTGGGTGCTGTCACCCTTTGAAGATGACTCGAAATTTGTCCTGTCCTTTGAGACAACAACACTGGCAATGGTTCTTGTCAGAGTGCTAATTCGACCGCCATTGCACACTCGGTGGATCGATGATGCTCAAGACACGACTTTAAACAATGAAGCGTAGTGCTTACGCGACTGCGCCGTCGTGCAGCTCGTTTCGTTCTGAAACTGATATCCGTATTTGACTCTCCAAAAGATCCGTTCAACTTACTAGAAAGTCATGTGTTGCATCTGAGTGCCCCCCGGCATGATTGATTTGCTGTGATGGGCAAGATGCAGCTGAAGGCGATACAGAAAGATAAGAAAGACCCCGAAAGGAAAACAAAGAGTAATATGCTGTATTTTAAAGAGGAGGTATACGCGTTATCGGAGTACAATAGGTACAGTCGACAAGAGTAAATGGATTGCATCCGTATGAGATGACCAAAATAGTGGGCTGGAGGGTAATTCATTCATATTTGATAAATTTAATTGATATCAGACACAATGTCTCCTTCGTTGTTATCTCTTGTGAGATCCTTAGTGCTTGTTGTCCAGTATTCTGAAGCAGGTCACCGCTGAAGCCTCGATATGATACAAAGCAGCAAAAATTGGCCATAATCATGAGTATCAGGATATTCCCTTGTAGAAGCATAATTTAAGGCACAACCCGGTCTTAAATGACAGATGGCCTAGTAAATTCCATGTACAGTAGTTCTAGTAGACCTTGGACTGGTTTATGTTTGGCACATTGCCTCTAGGCTAGACTATGGGCTTTCTTGCTCCATGAGGCTGCCTTATGATATTCTCACAACATTGATTCCACATCATGCAGTGCAATCTCCCTGGTCATGCTCCACTTTAAGTCTTCATAGTTACATACCCGCGGCATGAAAGCCAATAGGTATAAGGAAATAGAGTAACTCCGAAAATCGGCATTATGTCTACTGTAGGAACTGATTCCATCAATGATGTAATGTCGCTCGCCAAGCCTATTTGGGGCTAGGTTAAATGACGACTGTGTGGCGGAGCGGGGTACAGTTCTTAATGGTACTGTAACCCCACCTCAGTATTGCTAAGCTTCCTGAGACGCTGAGATGTCCCGCAGCTTGCAAGAGCTTGGTGAGAATCGCAAGGGATTGGCTAAGAACTCTGCTAGGCAATTCATTGGATTTCGGGTCCAGGAGTGGGGAAGCACAGCGCATGAAGCGGAAAGAGGTCGAAGCTGGCGACGGGAGAGGTACATAGAAAGCTCAGAAGCTCGGAGGTCGTGCCGCCTCGGACCCCGACTCTTCCTCAAAAACTCCTCTTTGCTCCCCTCTCCACTTGCATCATCGTTCAATCTTCAACTGCTTTCTAACCTAAACTCATCCAACAAAAGAAAAAAATCATCAAAATGGTCAAGGCTGGTAAGACTTCCCGTCACCAAGCCACCGCTCCCATACTGGGAGGGTGGCTCTTCTTATAGATGGCATCACCCATGCTCCGCGGGTGACAGTGAGGGGCTTCGAGCTGGTTTGAGCGAGTTTCCCAGACCTCCTCGTCCAACGAGATGACGAATTTCACACTCAATGCACCTTGATGGGCTCTTGTCTACCCCAAGAGGAACATTGAATGATAATCGAGGGTCCCTTGATGGGCTTTAACATGGCTCAGCTGTCACTGCTCTGTCCATCAAGGTTGGAGAACTGCTTCGCTCTCAGCGCCACCACCAGTGTGGAGGATGCCATCATGTATTACAACTAGTATACGCATTGAAGGTGGCTAACACGGTCCTTCGCAGTGAGCGTTCTCCGCGGTGACTCCAAGGTCTCCGGCACCGTCATTTTCGAGCAGGAGTCCGAGTCTGCCCCTACCACCATCACCTGGGACATCACCGGTAACGATCCCAACGCCAAACGAGGATTCCACATCCACACCTTCGGTGACAACACCAACGGATGCACTTCCGCTGGCCCTCACTGTGAGTTTGTTCCTGCATGACGCACCGCGGGTTTGTTCGGTTTTACGGAAGGGCCCGTTCCTGCGAAGATCTCCCGTCACAGATCTCCAGCCTTGCTCCTGTTCACAACACGCTAACATGTTTAATGCCAGTCAACCCTCACAACAAGACCCATGGCGCTCCCTCTGACGAGACTCGTCACGTTGGAGACCTCGGAAACCTGGAGACTGATGGCCAGGGAAATGCTAAGGGCTCTGTCACCGACTCCCTTGTCAAGCTGATTGGTCCCCACAGCATCATCGGCGTAAGACGATGTCTGCCCATATCCAACATTTCACTGACAATGGTATAGCGAACCGTCGTTATCCACGCCGGCACCGACGACCTCGGCAAGGGCGATAACGAGGAGTCCCTCAAGACTGGTAACGCTGGTCCCCGACCTGCTTGCGGTACGCTTAAGTCAACATCTAGTTTATTTACTAGTGCTAATATTTTATCAGGTGTCATCGGAATCTCCAACTAAGGAAACCAAGAACATAAAACTTTTATTGCTTGGATCAAGAAGCCGTCAGGTAATGAACAGTATGGCGTGGCACTCACTTCGCCTCCATACAATGAGACACAAACGAAAATAGTTAAATACAATCGAGCCAAGCTTATCAGCTAGTGACTCTCGATGCAGAGTGTCAACTCACATACACCTTTGTTCAGGTTGAGCGACATGCTAATTGAAAATGCCCGCATTTTGGATAGTTGTGTATATATGTCGCCATAATAAGGGGGCTCGAACTCCGAAGATACTCTGAATACATTGAGAAAGCTAATGGCTCCATCCTCAAGACAGTATCAGACACACTAGACTATACCATGCACCAGATCACACTGTAAGAAGCTTGAATCTGTGACAACTCCGCCTACACGTCCTGGCATGGTTCCAAAATCTGGAGCTGCTGGGCTCCTAGCCATTTCAGTATAGCTTTACCTAAGGTAGCTGAAGCTTTCCAAGGAGACAGCACCCCGCGATCATTCACTAGCTGCAGGGACATGCATCCGCCATAAACCCCTGAGTTTGTCCCCACATTCTACACTTTAGCGGCGAACTTGGCCTTGGGGCCACCTTGCCATAAGGGACCTCACGCGATTGCTACTCCACATTCAATGCTCAGATGAAGCTCTTGCTTTCTTGTCCTCCCCTCTCCTGACCTTCAACCTTCGTTATCTGAGCTCAACTTGTTTTCAATAAAGCTCGATCTTCTACAAAAGAAACACAAACTCCCTGTTCCTAGGTACGTGTGAGATATCTCCTTAACCTATAACACATTGTCATCTGGCGGTAGCAACGCTCAAGGGAGCTTGAAACTCAATTGAAGCTCTGCTTAGCTTGGCCTTTCATTCAGAAACTTCTTGGATCGTGAGAGCTCCAACTGCCACAGTCTCCACCGTCTCTTGTCTCTATGTCTGTTTTCCAGTGTTCTTCCTGTGTCCTGTCAAAATCGCTGTTGCACTTGAGTTCTCAGCCTTCGACTAACATGAGCTTGAATCAAACAGGTCTTTCCGCGTTGTCTTCCTGTATCCGCCACAATGTCCCAAACTTTCTTCGGCCGTGTCAAGAGCGTGCTTAGTGGCGACACGCTGATATTGACAAGCACCAAGAACCCCAACAGTGAACGCACCCTGTCTCTCGCCTATGTCACGGCCCCTCACTTGAAGCGCGAGGGTGACGAGCCTTTCGCCTTCCAGTCTCGCGAGTATCTTCGAGACCTCGTCCTCGGACAGCTCGTTCAAGCAACTGTTCTGTACACAATCCCTACTTCCGGCCGAGAATTTGGTACTGCCAAACTTAAGGATGGAACCATGCTGCCTGATGAGCTTGTTAAAGCTGGCTGGCTGAAGGTCCGCGAGGATGCTGGTCGGAAGGAGGAGTCGGACGAGGTGCTTGACCGCCTTGAGGCACTTCGCCAGCTCGAAAATAAGGCCAAGGCTGAGGACAAGGGACTCCACGTCGGGGTTGGTGGTATTATTGAGGTTCAAAATGATCTCGGTGGCCCTGAATTCTTGAAGGAGTGGAAAGGCAAGACAGTGGATGGTATTGTTGAGCGAGTTCTTAGTGGCGACCGCGTATTAATGCGGCTCCTGCTCTCCGAGAAGAAGCACGTTCAGCCCATGACACTGATTGCAGGTATCCGAACGCCTGCCACCGAACGCACACTTCCCTCTACTGGTACCACTCAGCCGGCCGAGGAATATGGAAATGAGGCTAGATCATTTGTTGAGTCAAGGATGCTCCAGCGTCGGATTAAGGTTGAGATCGTTGGTGCCAGCGCCCAAGGGCAGCTTGTTGCCTCCCTTATCCACCCCAATGGAAACATCGCCGAGTTTCTACTCCAAGAAGGTCTTGCACGATGCAATGACTTCCATTCTATTATGCTGGGTGAAAAAATGGCGGCTCTCCGCGCTGCTGAGAAGCAGGCGCAGTCCAAGAAGCTCCGGCTTCACAAACACCATGTTGCTAAAACTGAGAGCGGAAACCAGGACGCAATTGTATCCAAGGTCATTGGTGCCGATACCATTCTCGTAAGAAATAAGGCCGGAACAACAGAGAAGCGCATCAACATCAGCAGTGTCCGAGGGCCCCGTACTACAGAGCCTTCAGAAAGTCCTTTCCGAGAAGAAGCCAAGGAGTTTCTTCGTCAAAAGCTGATTGGAAAGCATGTGAGGATCAGCATTGATGGTAACAAGCCCGCAACAGAAGGATATGAGGCTCGTGAAGTCGCCACTGTCACCGAAAAGAATACCAATATCAACCTTCTCCTGGTTGAGAACGGATGGGCGTCAGTCATCCGACATCGAAAGGATGACACTGACCGAGCCCCTAATTATGATGACCTTCTCGCTGCCCAAGAGAAGGCTAAAGCGGAGAAGAAGGGCATGTGGTCAGGCAAGCCTCAGAAGGCAAAGCAGTACACCGACCTCTCCGAGAACACACAGAAGGCCAAAATCATGCTGGCTACCCTACAACGACAAAAGAAGGTACCTGCCATTGTCGACTTCTGCAAAGCTGGTTCTAGGTTCACTATCTTGATTCCACGAGAGAATGTAAAACTCACAATGGTTTTGGGTGGAATCCGCGCCCCTCGAGCCCCCAGGGCCGATGGCGAAGGTGGTGAGCCTTTCGGCAAGGAGTCCCTCGATCTTGCCAATCGTCGATGTAACCAGCGCGACTGTGAGGTAGATATCCATGACATGGACAAGGTGGGTGGGTTCATTGGTGACCTTTATATCAACCGAGAAAACTTCGCCAAGGTCTTGGTCGAAGAAGGTCTCGCATCTGTTCACGCTTATTCTGCGGAAAAGTCTGGTAACGCTGCTGAGTTATTTACCGCCGAGAAGAAAGCCAAGGAGGCTCGGAAGAACTTATGGCAGGATTGGGATCCCTCACAGGACGAGGAGTACGAGGAAGAGAACAATGCTGAAGTTGCCCCTGAAACCGAAGTCTCTATCGACAAGAAGCCCACCGACTACCGCGATGTCATCATCACTAATGTTGACGCGAACGGTAAACTCAAGATCCAAGAGATTGGCAAGGGAACAGCCGCTCTTGAGAGCTTGATGAGCGAATTCCGAAGATTCCACCTTGATTCCAAAAACAGCAACCCTCTCAAGGATGCTCCAAAGACCGGAGAGTACGTCTCAGCCAAGTTCTCTGCTGATGGTCAGTGGTACCGAGCCCGCGTGAGGGCCAATGACCGCAGTGCCAAGAAGTCTGAAGTTGTTTATATCGATTACGGCAACAGTGAGAAGGTGCCCTGGTCTAATTTACGAGGGCTGGATCAACCCAAATTCGGTGCGCAGAAGTTGAAGGCTCAGGCCGTTGATGCCTCTCTGTCATTTGTGCAACTTCCTACCGGTGCCGACTATTTCCAAGATGCTATCGATTTCATCTACGAACTCACTGAGAATAAGCGACTTGTTGCCAACTTCGACTTTGTGGACAACAAGGAGAACCTGAGCTATATCACATTGTATGACACAGGATCCTCAGGAGAACTTCCCGGACCCAATGACTCTCTCAACAAGGAAGTTGTTGCCGGTGGGTACGGCATGGTTCCTAAGAAGCTCAAGGCTTGGGAACGTAGTAAGGCGTTTGAGTCTACCCTCAAATATCTTAAGGAGGTTGAGAGCCAGGCAAAGGACCAGCGCCTGGGTATGTGGGAGTATGGAGATATCACTGAAGACTAAGCAGCCCTCGGCTTCAAGGTTGGCGCTGGTGATGATTATGGAGCAAAGCTCTTGGTTACAAATATGTTACAAATGGATTTGACAGACGGAGCTTCAAGCAAGAAAAATCGGGAAGAGAATGGTGTCCTGGGGTAGCCATGGGGTTTGCAGTCACTATCTATGTACTAGTAACAAGCACCAGAAACAAAAGTCTTCACTGGATGCTTCATGAATGGCAGCTAGGTTCTAGGAAATTTGGGGGTTCCGACAGGTGAATAACATCAACACAAGCACTTGCTGCGTGATGAGTGATGAGTGAATTCGACGCTAAACAACATTGAGTTTAGCTCATGTCTAAATCAGCATGCTGAGCAATATCCCGTAGCCAATGTCAATATTTGTATGTAGTGCCAGAGTTGGATTGATTTTGTTGAAGTACTGCGCTTGTTATTCGCGCGGACTTGAGCGGAAGTCGCAATCAGAATTATGGGCCCAGGCGTGATTGATGTTTACTGAAACGCCATGTTATCGGTTTACTGTCTTCCGAAGTGCTCACTCACACGAGAGTTCCGGTAACATCGGGATTCTCCCCGCCGAGCGCATGCAGCCTTTTCCTCACCACCTCCACGTGCTGCGAAGAGTGATTTAATGGGTGCTATCGAAATGGAAGCATCTAATACAATGTATGTAATGGATGCAGCTGATATGCCGCAACAATGATCTGAGGGCGCGATTTTCGGTGACATGGTGTTCAGAGTGACCAGACACAACAGCGGATAATGTCCAAAAACACTGATACTGAAAATGGCACGGCCCAGTTGCAGGCAAAAGTAAGCGGCTAAATAAGCATGGATGTATGTAGAACTTGCAAACCAGCGTGTTAGGCCCGCTGCTCAACTTCCTTACCTTCGTTACCACTGCGCAGTCTCGGGGAGGAAATAAAACACGGGACCTTTAAGCCTAACTGATAAAAAGATTTAGGTAATTTAGTATAAATTTAGGATAAGTTTAGGATACCTTTTGTGGAGTTTATTCTGTCACCCTAAACTTAGGTCTCGTGTTTTCTTGCTCCCCAAGGGCAGTATGTACTTCTCCACGGCATTGTTTGTCCATAAGGTACCTTAGGTATGGATGCTGCCGACATCATTGAGGGTCTCGGTGGACTCGGCGAGGTCTCGACGGGCCATTGGAGCAACTGAGCTCCAAGGCGGGTGGGGGCCTGATTGCCCGCCTTGTCCGCCTGGAGTGAGGTGAGAGTAGAAACGTTGGGGGTGAGAGGCGGTAGTGATTACCAAGACAAGCGAAGGATACGTCGCTTTGCCGATAATGTCAGTACATATGTAACTATCTGAAATACCTGCCAGTGACGAGGAATTTTGCATAGAATGACTGATACCAATAGATTCGTAGCCAAAGTAGATATCCATTGTTGATGAGTAGTGTCATTACGAGAGATAGGAAAGGCAAAGTCAGTACCACAGAGTACACAGCATTCTTATTCAGATTGCCTAGTCTAGAGTTCCCATCATTCCTGGCTGGCGCGGCTGTAAATTGGTATCTATAGGTGAAGCAGTTGAGGTGAGAGCCCCGGTCAAGGTACCGACTTACCTACCCAAGCACGATCCAATCCTTATGACATACTAAGATACCTTAGGTAGTGGGGCAGTCGACGTAGCTAGGTATGGGCTCAAACATACCTACCTACAGAGGAGGGGTGAAGTCAGAGAGTCCGAGTTGAGGGTGAGGGGCGAAGACGAATAGAAAAGAAAGCGCCAGTCGTCGTGTGTACGTCAGGTCCCTTCCCGACTTTCGGTGGAATCCCCAATCTTTTTTCTTGTTGTACCCTCGCCTTCCTCTTCTTCCATTCTTCCTTTCTCCTCTTCTTTTCTTTCCATCTCACTTTCTCACCTCTTCAACGAAACTACTCGTGATACGAATCAATACCATTCATCATGTCTTCCTCTCTCGAACAGCTTAAGGCCACCGGCACTGTATGTCACCCCACCATTACCCCTCCAACTCGTTTATGAGCGCGAACAAGAGCGAGCATGGCTTCATGTTCGAGCTTGATAAACAACATCTCTGATTAATTGGGCTCGCCAATTCCTCGTTCTTGGTCTTCCTCGGGACCAGATGTTGTTTTTGCCCTTCCGTAACTATGCCTCTCATGAGAAATCGATAGCTGACCATTTGTTTGTTTCCACCCCGATAGACTGTTGTGTCTGACTCCGGTAATTACCGCACCTCATGGACTCGATCAAGTACTTTACTAACTTCTTACTCTTAGGCGACTTTGTCTGTTAGTATACACCCCTACCGTTATGCGCCCCGAGCCCACGACTCCTGCTATCCTAGCCAAGAGTTCCAGCTTCGCCCATATGACATAAGGAGTCATGATCGCCATGATGTGACATGGCATGATATGTGAGAATGAACAGCAGCTGACATCTCAACAGCCATTGGCAAGTACAAGCCTCAGGATGCCACCACCAACCCTTCTCTCATTCTCGCTGCCTCCAAGAAGGCCGAGTACGCCAAGTTGATCGATGTCGCCATTGACTATGCTAAGCAGAAGGGTGGCCCCATCGACCAGCAGGTTGATGATGCTCTCGACCGTCTTCTTGTCGAGTTTGGCAAGGAGATCCTCAAGATCATTCCCGGCAAGGTCTCAACTGAGGTCGATGCCCGATACTCTTTCGACACCCAGGCTTCCGTCAACAAGGCCCTTCACCTCATTGAGGTAAGCCACCATAGCGACAGGTTACCACTCTAGAACGAAGTGCTAACGTAAATTTAAAGCTTTACGGTGAACAGGGTATTTCCAAGGATCGCATTCTGATCAAGATCGCCGCCACTTGGGAGGGCATCAAGGCTGCTGAGATTCTCCAGCGCGACCACGGCATCAACACCAACCTTACCCTCATGTTCTCTCTTGTCCAGGCTATTGGTGCTGCCGAGGCCGGTGCCTACCTCATCTCTCCCTTCGTCGGCCGCATTCTTGACTGGTTCAAGGCTTCTACTAAGAAGGAATACTCCAAGGAGGAGGACCCTGGTGTCCAGTCCGTTAAGACCATCTTCAACTACTACAAGAAGTACGGTTACAACACCATCGTCATGGGCGCCTCTTTCCGAAACACTGGCGAGATCACTGAGCTTGCCGGCTGCGACTACTTGACTATCTCTGTATGTCACATCAAATCTGTGTTGCGAATAGGAACCAAGGACGCTAATATTTTCTACAGCCTAACCTGCTTGAGGACCTCCTGAACTCGAATGAGCCCGTTCCCAAGAAGCTTGATGCTTCCCAGGCTGCTTCTCTAGACATCGAGAAGAAGTCTTACATCAATGATGAGGCTCTCTTCCGCTTTGACTTCAACGAGGACCAGATGGCCGTTGAGAAGCTCCGAGAGGGTATCAGCAAGTTCGCTGCTGATGCTGTCACCCTCAAGAGCATCCTCAAGGAGAAGCTCGCCTAAATCTCTTGCATGGTTGATGATTTAAGAGACAATGTTTGAAAAGTTAAATGGGACAGTGGTAACGTGGGAATGCAGAAAGCACTGAAGCTGACTGCGAACAACCAACTATAATTTGTTCACGATCTTTGCTGGGGAGTTGTCGTTGCTTATACCACACATCTTCTATAGTTCATATCCATCATTATTCCTCAGCTTAAGGCGAAGTCATTGGCTGTAATTTGCCTCGTGAGTGAGGTGCCCATTGAAACAGATAGCGGCTAAATGACGAAAATCGAGGATATGAGCCCAAAGAAAACTAGCAGAATCATCATCCCTCAAACGTCGTGAACCGTAATTTTTTTAGTTTACGTGAGAGCTCCCGTCTACATATCTTGACAAGAAATGACCCATCATTGTCATTATCATGACCCATAACGCCATCTAACTGAAATGCGTGAAACCGCTTGCCCGAGTATTGACTTAAAACCATCATTGTACAGCATGATATCGTATCGTCAAAATTGTGAGGACCTTACCACCATCCCTTTTTGCACATGACCTGATGAGTTGAGTGCTTCCAGCCGCCTTCGTCCTTGGCCTGGATAACCAGGCCAGTTAGAGCGTTGCCCTTGACGCAGCCAGAGTCGAGGCCGAAGGTGTATGAGTCCTCCTGATAGCCCATCTTGGCATCGTGGCCGTAGATGACAGAACGGCGGTCGGGTCCTCGTAATTTCCTTTGCTCGCTATTCCATAGGTCGGTCCATCGTTCACCTTCGTGGCCATCTATGGGAATCCATACATCGCGATCAGGGTTTGTGCGTTCGGCGACGGCTTCATCGGTCGACAGTACGGCACCTGCGGAATCGGCTGGAGCGGGCTCGGCGCGGGCAGCGTGAGCATGCGAGTCGGTATCCTCCTCTCCCGGAACGAAACTGCGCTGCTGAAACTTTGCCTGCGCGTCCTCCTGCGCTTTTGCTAGCTCCTTTTGTCGCTGTTTCTCGGCCTGCTTTCGTTTCTTTTCAATTTCTTTCTTACGGAATTCTTCGCGCGGAAACCGCAAGGTGCGCATGTTCATGACAGCCCAGGCGTCTTGTTGAGGGAGTGGGACGCCTGGGACGAGGCCGGCGTGCACAAAGTAGAGGGCCATGGATTCGGCGGATATAATGACCGGTAGGTTTTTCAGCCACGTCATTTGCGCCTCGGAAAGACTGCGAGCTGTCTTCAAGTCCGCCTCTTCGCCCCTGTGCTTGGCAGCATCTTTGGTATCGAGGTAGGCGGCGACGCCCTGTTGAGAGCTGAGGCCGCGCCATGCAAGAATGACGCGATCTTCGTGGTTGCCGCGGACCGCACTGGCTTTGAGTTCCATAAGACGAGCAACTACCTCGGAAGACTTGGGGCCTTTGTTAATCATATCGCCCACTGCGATAACGTGGTCTGTCTTGGGGTTGAATTCGATCTTCTTGAGTAGCTTCTCGAAGGGGTCAAGCATGCCGTGGATATCGCCAACCACAACCAATCTCTTTCCATTCTTTGCTGTGGGGACGTATTCGCTGGGTAGATTCCTGATGAGGTCGATACCATCATAGCGCGGTCTGTTATACATGCCGTAAGACATGGGGTTATCGGCTCTGAGAAGTTCGACTTGTGGACGCAAGACTTCGTCCTCCACCTCTACGGGCCCAACTGTTAATGCTGCGAGACGCGAACAGCAATAAAAAATGCTAAATACGAAGAAGAAGGTCGATAGAAGGACGAGTAGACGTCGCTGTGGTGCGGTGATCATGATTGCCATCGTCTGTGGCGGCACGAATCGGAGAGGAGAGATATAGATGCGACGATGCGAACTGAGGATGATAGTGAAGTTATGACGACAACGACAGCGGCGCCAGTTGTAGACCAGACCGCATTACTAAATTTGGCGAGGCGATGGATAAGGTCGGGTACTTTGATTTGACTTGACTTTGACTTGACTTGACCTTGGCACAGCTGGACTTGGCGCTGGGCAGGTGAATGAGTGGGTTGAGCTCAGGAGGAAAGGGAGAGACGGCTAAAATATTGCGACACACAGATGTAACTGAACGGTCTCAGGCGGTTGTGGTGAGACCGTTCAAGAAGCGGGAGATAAGGTATGTAGTAAAGTAAAGAAGGTTACCCAATCTACAAGTGGAATGGGGAAATGATAGCAAATGACCCTTCAAGCCATGGCGAAGCGATTAAACCAAGAAGCCACTAATTTACTGACTCCTACCAACCCAACCACTGCCTTTTTTCTTCTTCCTTTCCACAAAGACGTATCCATTATTATGCAACGCGTCTGGCGCTGAGAGGGAGGGGTGTTCAAAGTGTGACGCAGGATACACGAGGATAACTTCCCTCTTGGGCCAGATTTATCATATGAACTATGGTAGTCTCGATCAATTCTTGTCACTAATGGGCTTCATTATTTCCTCGTCCAATTGTGTATGCTTTCGGGTTGTGGGGAACATGTCTGTCCCTCCCGACTAAGGTATAAGTGAGGTGAGGCGAGGTGAGATGCAACCAGGTCCAGGTGGAAAACTTGAAACTCGACACGGGCCATAAACTTTAATTTAGAACGCTAATAAGCATGAATTGACCACTGCTGTCCAAGGCCATTGACGTTGATTGAGCTGTAGGCCGGGTTGTCAATATGACTGGCTAAAAGGTACTAACTACCTAGGTAGGTAACATACCTAGTGACTTACCCAGGTGGGGGATGTAGGATGCATAATACATACAGTTATTGTACAAATCTTGGGATTAGACCAGAGCAAATCATCAGAACGTAAGAATTTCAGCCTTTTTCCTTTTCCTTTTCTTCTTCTCTTTCTTCTTTCTGGGTATATCCAAAAGTCTTTGCCCGTCAATTTCGTCATGTAGAACTGTTTCAGCTCAACTTCGGCATTGCTTTCTATCGTCTTCGGCGTTTTGAGGACCATGGTGGTATCAAATACTGGTACGAGTAGATAGTCGTCACCATACTACCACGCATATCCCATGTCGGAACAAGCTTGATTCGGTCAGGCAACGATGTCCATCTCACTTCTTCTGCTGCTCCATTGCCGCCTGTTCTGCCTTCCACTTCTCATTCTCGACTTCTCTCCAATCTTGAGGAATGGGCTCGTTTCCGTCTGTCTTCTTGACGCCGCCCGCAAATGCCGGGCGTCCGGCGTAGAGTTGGTATCCTTGACCCTCCTCGGCCTGTTCCATCGTGCGGTATGCCACGGGCATGTTGCCTCGGAATCTTTTACGCATGTCCACCATGCCACGCTTGCACTCGCCGAAGCCCTTCTTCAACTGTCGGCACTTGAGCGGGAGGGTGTTGACGAGGGGCTCGCGGAGGCAGTCGGCGGCGCTGTTGCGCTCAACCATGACACAGTCGGATTCTTGGAGACACTGCGCGAGTGCTTCGCCTGGGAAAGCATCGGGTGTTAGAATGATTGATATGCGGGCTGTATGTCAGGGTCAGTGAATAGCTTACGCAGTTCTTTGCATGAGCTGGGCATCTTGGTTGGGAAGGCTTTGGCAATGGCACCACGGCTCAGATCATGTAACTTTAAGGTCAACCCACGATGATGAGGCTTCAAAAGGGTCGTTTTGCGGTCGAGAAATGATTGGCTGGCTGGGTGCCGGGAATAGAACGGATGTGCTCCAATTTGTAATAACACGGGAATACTACGAATAGGCACCCAGTACAGAGCTCTGTAGAGAGAGTTACAAGGCATTATAGGCACTTTAGCGATTTACCTAGCTCAAGAGTCAAATATACCGTAGTTCATTCGTATCTCCAAAGCCACTAAGGCATCATAAGCCTGCCCAAATTTGGACTTCACATAGCTCTACTGGTCGTTATAAACTTGCCATGATTATACTCTGCGTCCTCCAAAACCACCTGCAACTCTCGCGTCGCTTATATTTGGGATTTGAGCCTCAGGCTCCCTTTCATCGATTGCTTGTTCAAATCTTCCCTTTTCAACTTTCACAGCCGCCCATCTCTGCTCCCTTCCCGACCTGGCTCCTGTATGACCTTCCCAGACGCCCAGCTCATCCAACAACACCTCCACGACCCATGCCATCTCGATCTCGTCCCCAGGAAGTTGCCTCACTGCTCCCTCAGCATCCTGCCTTGTCTTTGGGATCTTTGTGCATAGTAGATGCAAGTCCAGTAGCTGCGTAAATATCAGACCAAAGTTCGGTTTCGTGCGCCGGGCACTGTAGCCGGTTAATGGTGGCGGGTTGAAGATAGATCGTAGTGTTGGATCAACTTGGCTTTGCTTCGCTGGCGACGCTGCGGTTGCGAGTGCTGGACCCGAGGATACTGCTGATGTCGAGTTCAGTAGAAGGATAAGTGGCTTCGATGATAGATTGCGCGAGAGATCGCGGAGGTGTGAGTTCAAAAGCTGAAGCGCGGCATGCGCTGCCGACTTCTCGCGGTGAAAGAAGAGACCAGTCAGAAGGGATGAGAAATGCGTAATGACGATAACGTCTGGGTGCCGTTGCGTCTGGTTACACGGCTCCTCTGCCAGTGGCTGTGAAGCTTGATGGATGGGGGAGAAGGCCTCATCATCGTCATCCTGACTATCCTGGATCTCGTCAAACTGATATGTTGTATCATGTTGTCCCATGTCTGCCGCCACTTGGTCCTGCACCGCACCATCCTTCTGTTCAACCACCTGGTAATCCAGATCTGCCAGTGCCTCCCAGAGACCATCCATGTCGAATACACAAGACAGCATGACTTTATCAAGACATTGTCTTGCTTTCATCCTTATAGTATCCTTTGTGCACCGTTTGGCCTCGAGTTCGGACTTCACCGCGTCTCTCAAGCGGGCCAGCATTACGCTTGCAGGCCTGGGAGTGACGAGCAGACCACTAACAACCGTGCCTTCACAAAGCGAATGTGCAAGTGTCTGGAGACCAAGCTGATGCAGGAAATTAGTCCAACGCTTCATTCACACTACCAACGACTTTATCGGATTGTTGATCTCACCTGAACCCCTAGCTCTTCATCTTCTGCGCTGATGCCCATAACACATCCGCGTTCAAAGCCTCCTAACATGACATCCTCGTCAATTACTTTGCATCCTGTCTTACAGGCTCCCAACAGTGCGATTGCATCGCGCCTTTTCACCTCTTTGTCGACCAGTATTGCTGCAGGAATTGGTTCAAGCTGAAAGTGGGAGCTTGCCTGTGAGGGGGGACTTTGTGGTGGGTTCATGGAGTGAGGTTGTTTGTGGCCTAGTACTATATTTCGTTTGGTGCTATGCAAGGTCCAAGTGCGTTACTGCTCCTCATGGTTTATATAAGGTACTAGGTAGGCTTCAAGGTAGCCCCAAAGCCACAACAACCAGATCAGCTTAATACTGTCATAATAAATCATGAATTGCATGCTTTCCTTTGAAGTCTTGCTAAACATGATATCAGGAGAATTGAAGTACTCAAAGTTGAGAATGGTATTATCCCTTGATATGCCTCGGAGGTTGTTAGCCACTTCAAGGTAGAAGAGGAGCTTATTGTTTTCACACGGTAACATCGCATTTGAATTTATTGATGCCATGATCAGACATCAAGTCCTGATATAAAACATACAAAAAAGGCTTCATAAGAACCTCCCAGATCTCGGTCGGCAGTCCCATGTCATTTCTGGCATCGCAACGACTTGGAGACGACTCAAGCTCATGAGGTTCCTGCTAAGCCAGACCTGCCTGGTGTAAATCTCCAAAACAGAGCAAATGACCCGACCTATGGGCTTGGTTTCCTGTAACCCATGCTGCCCGCCCCATCCCAAACTCAACAAAAAGAAGATAATAAATAGAAACTTCATCGGTATCTGGAGAGACCAAATAGACCTTATCTCGTCGCATTTGTATACCGTTTTCTTGAATAATTGTGTACCTGGCCAAGTCTTTTTGCTTGAACCTCTGCAGTATCGCATAGCAATGGTTCAGATTCTTGTACCGTGCTTGAGGCGTACGCGGCACACCTCTCTGCCTCTCTCGGCGCCGCATTTTCTTGATCTCGTGTTGGCAGGCTATTAGCCCGTGAACTTTCATTCGCGTGCTCATTCATGTTCTGCGCAAGGCTGTCCTGCCTTGACTGCCATCGCTTCGGGCTTCGACTTGAGTCAAGGAGTCGCCCGGCACCTGTCCTCCACTAAACGGCCGTTCCGGGCACACCGGGCCCGTTGCTAGGTATCTCTGGCCGGGGCTTCCGCCCCTTTAGGCTCTTCATTCGTCCCATGAGCCCGGTGGGCTTTGCTGGGGCATCGTCCAGAGTTGTAGCCGCATCAGTCGTCGCCCGTCGCTCGAGGACAGCTCCGGCAGAAGGACGTCGGGCTCCAGGAGGGCTGTTGGATGTCATTGAGCCATCTCGCGGCCTTGCGCTAAAGCCTTCCTCGCCTTTACCGAATTCTGCAAAGAAGGGATTGTTGTCTGAACCGGTGCTGGCTGCTGTCGGATAGGCATCTGGGGTGATTCTGGAATATTCGCCATTGGGGCGCCCTGACTGACTATAATCGCGGGGGCCCTTGTTAATGTGGCGAATGCGCTGTGCAAGCGACTTCTTGCGCTGTAGACCACCCTCCATGTTCTCCTGAGCCTGTTCAGCCTGGTGGCGCTGAATAGCACTTCGCGCAGCGGGGGTCCCTTCCAAGAAGGTTGAGGTGCCCAGGCCAACAGACTCATCTCCATGAACAATCTGGTCTCGACCTGAGGCATCAAAAATGGCCGGCTCCTTGCTACGGGATTTTGAAGGTGCAGAAAAATCTCTGAAAGCCTCATCTGTGGCATTTCCCATAAGGATTGAATGGTCAGCTCGAGCATTAAGCGGCCCAGCGCCTCCAAGAGAGTTGTTTAGTGAATCTTTGGGGAAGGCTTGCATTGGCGCACGTCTCGCGTTTTGACGATTTCGGTGGGGGTTCAGGGCGTCGAAAGGCCCATCATGATGGAACACTGTTCTGTGTCAGCAACAATGAACTTTAGGATTATGGAGGGGATGAACGTACGCCCAGTTCCGTAAATACTTGTGGCATCAAGCTGATCAATAATATCCATCTTTCTGCTCGGGCGACTGGTCTTCTCCCTATCTCCTCGCTCCCGACGATCGCGGTCACGGTCACGGTCGCTTCTATCACCGCGCTCCTTGCCCTCTCCCCGACGCTGTCGTTCGTACTCGCGTCGTCGGGCTGCCTCGATCATTCTTTTCTCCTCCTCTGTGATTGGACGCGCATCAAAATCGACCAAAGAGGACTCAGAATTCCGTCGAGGACGTCGTGGTGGGGCACGTCGTTGCGGTGAACTCTGTTGCGCTCGGGGTCCAGAGCCTTGCATCCTTCGAGCACGAAGAGCTTCTTCCTGGGAACGCGAAGGGCGGTGGCTGCCACTCTCAAGCGGCGGGTTTTCGCCGCCGCGTCTTGGGGGTGGTCCGTTCATCGGTCGGCGAGTCGACTGCTGTCTTGCTCGGTCGTTGGAAGTATCATCGAGAGTCATGGAGTTCTGTTTGATGGCAAGTTAATACCAGTGCATGAAATCATCGTCGACACCATCGAGAATTAACCATTCTCAACATGTTTGAGACAGTGGGAGAAAGATATCGACTGAAGTACATACAAAAATTTCCTCGGCTGAAAGAGACTTAGAGTCTGAGTGAGACGACATCGCACCAGGTGACCTAAGAGGCCGTGACAATAAATCAACCGGTGGCTGATCGAGAAATGGATTTCGAGATAAAGGTCGGGCTGGGGGGTCGTCGAAGGGAGAGGCGGGTTTGCTGGGGAAAAGAAGGTCGGCACTGGCTGGAGATGGTGCGCGGTTGCGGAAGGGGTTATTAGAAGATAAGTTGAGTGTGAGACCAGGAGATTGGCCAGAACTGGTGTGGTCTGTTTCCAAGAAAACCTATCAGCTGGGTGCTAGATAAACGGGCGCATGCATGCAATGACGACGACAAATGGACCAAGATGAAACAGACAATCTCCTCAGCATGACACAAGATGGATGCCAGCCAAGTGGACCGACCAGCAAGCTTCTGGTGAATGGTTGCGCCAAGTTGACTTGCGATCCATTCAACATTACAGTTGATCTAGTCTCCTTTGTTTACAAGATTCCAAGCGCCGAGCTTTGGCAGCTATCGGACGCGAATCCCGGTGAAAACAGAAGGGGAAACTTTGGGAATGGGGTGGTTGTCGCAGATCACATAAAAGCGAAATCAAGGGGCAGGCGCTTACCGGAGTGAAAAGACTGAGCAGTAGACATGATTGCAAAGGGGTCAAGCTTGGGCTTGTGTTTCTGATTTGAAGATCCAGGAGAGAATGCGGAGCCAATTGATATAGAGTAACAGAGGAAACGGCAGCCGTTGCAACGCCAGGTAAAACAATGCGTTACGTGTGTCGTATAAAAGATAGAAATAGAGCCCGGGCTTGCGCAAACAAGGACGAAGGCAACTTCGCCAAGAAGTGAAAGTCAAAGAGCTGGCCGTGGTAAAATACGTAGGTCGGGATGGATTAAATTCCTCTGTCCTGAAAGCTCAGACCCAGCGTCATACCAAGTCAATAAGAGCACGGTACGCCACTCAAACGCGATTCGAATCCCCGTTCTGCTGTTCAACTTTGTTCAGGCACCTGGTGGGTCAATAGCTCTGGGGTGAAGTGGCCTTCGTGGTGCCCAAAGGCCAAGGGCTCGGAAAGGGGCTGGCTGGCCTGAGAAAGTAGTGCGATCGTCTTAGCGGCAGATGCCTCTGGGTTGAGAGGCTCTTGATGAATTGTTAGGTCCAAGAGGAATAAATTGTTTGAGGCCGAGAAGCTAATTGATGTGGTAGCAGTGCAGATATGGAATGGGTCCTTGCAGAACGTATTTTGCAAAGCCAAGTGCCTGAAATCAACAAAGCTGATGAAGGGTATTCAACTTGCAGGTGCTTGGCTGAACCACTCGGGGTCGAGTTTGGCGACTCGTCGATAGGCCTGTTAGCGGGGGCAGGTCAATGCTCACGGCTGTCGAACTTGGGCAGGGGCCTTCAGATGCGGGACTGGCAGGGGTCGTTGACCACACTGGGTCGTACACGATGTTCCCAGACCAGGGTGGAGGACAATAAGAAGATAAAATCAGGGTCCAGAAAAGATCGCTTTTCAAGCAGTGTCGTTAGCTTTTAGTCCTGTAAACAGGATATTCAAGTGCTTGCAATTAGAGAGACAAAGTAGCTGTATTTGTTGAGCTGTGATCGACGGTGACGGCGAGCGAAGACGGGCTATTGTTGGTGACAGGTCGCTCCGTCGGCTGGTGGAATCCAGATGTGAATTGGCCTTGAGATTGAGATCAGAGGTTCCGGGGTCAAGCTTCGGAAAGGCTCAGCAGCGATCAGAGGCGAGTGAAGGATAGAAGGTGGACGATGGATACTGCGTGAGCGATATGCTGCCTTAAGTCGGTTTTGTTGAAGGGTTTGTTGCGTAGCCAGGGTTCGTGAGGTTCTCGGTGTTGTATAACAGTGGTGCTATGATGAAAGGAATGGGTTGCCAATCTCTACCTGAGTTGTGTTGGCCGTGTCAGTGAATGGGATGACAGAGGAGAAGGAGGAAAGGAAGAAGAAAGGAGCGCTCGAGGCAACTTAGAGCCACAAGCCAGAAAAGTGAACGTTGTGTAGAATTGAGGGTGAAAGAAGATCAAAAACGTTCAATGGAGAGGGAGAAAGATGGAGGCATGAGGAGCCTTCTGAGAAGCTCGGCCGGGTAAGTACGGACCAGAACGAATGGGGAAATCCCAGGCCTAGGTTATAAGATACCTGTCAAGGTAGGTACCTAGCTCTACAGTATACGTCTGGGCTGCTGAAGCAAGTCGGTGAACGTGGTCAGACGGGGAAAGAATTAGCTGTTTGTGCGGGCTGGAAGGTAAGGTAAGGTTACCTAGAGGTAGTTAGGTAGTTAGTGCATCAGATTTTGGGGAAGAGACGACCGGAGCTGGGGAGAGAGCAACTCAGTGCCAGTCTTGTCAACCTTGGCTGAGCTGAATCGAGCTTGGTCCAGCTTCCGATCTAATTAGCAAAAGTAAGGTAGAGGTACCTACAAGGTCTGACTTGAGCTACGGACATTTGCGCCTGTGGCTGCGATTTAACATTTCCCAGCCCAGTCTTGCATCGTCCAGTTTAAGACTTCCATTACAACAGCCTTATTTCAACGGCACCCGACAAACTGCAACGGCTCCTACATACCTGTGTATTGGCAGTTACCAGAACCTAGCCCCATCATCAGCATGTTATATGTATGTCGAAGCATGGACTGAAAGCATTGAGTTTGAAAAATCTATGTACTCCGTACCTTTTGTAAATTCTAGCTTCATCACCCCTAAACTTTCAAGTACCGGGTCCTGATTCGAGAAGGTGGCAGCAGCTGACTTGGATCGTAGACATCGGACAGGCTATCACTAACAAGGTTGACTAAGGTACCTGGACCCAGATTGTTCGACCTGGCTTATGGATGCCCTGGCTGGCCAAGCCCATAGGCCTCGTACCAGCCATGCCGTGTTCTGAGGACGCCTAGAACTCCGTCTGATTTACCTGACTCTTGCGTGGGTCACTGTGCATGTCTACGATCGAACAATGGATTTGGGGACCAAGGGATTCACTTACCTACATCAGCATCAGCATCATTGTATCCCTAGCATTGCTTCCTTACCTTGCCCGGGAAGCTCGCATGTATCCTGACTGCACTGTCATTTCCTAGTGGATGTCGGCCGAACACAAGGTCACCCTACCCCTTAAACATCCAGGGCAATCACTAAGCCTCGCACAGCCAATGACAAGGCCGTCTCTTCTCCACAGGTTGCAAAACGCCATGCCCCTGCCCCTGACGCCAAAGAAGTCAAACTCCACAACTAACAAGAGCCCCGATTATCGATGATGGCTCAAATTTACTTTTCATCAGTCTCCTTTTCGTCTTCTTTGTCAACGTCAGGGGTGTCTTACCATGCAACCCGGCCGTTGAGATCTTGTATATCAGGCAAGATGCTCAGTCGAGATATCAGACAATGTCTCGCTAATACTGATGTCAGTCAAGCCCTCCTGCAGTGCTGCTGCACCAAACCTAGACGCATATTCACAACACGAGCAGTAAGAGACGCAGCACAGAGCAAACACTCAGAAACCCAGCCTCGTGTTCTTTCATTCCACATTTCCTTGACCTTGTCAGTCAAAAGCTTGATCGAGCCCGGTCCAGACTGAACCTGAATAGTAGCATTCTAATTACAATACCCGGACTTGGCTGGTGTCTTGGCTAGGGATCATGACCACGTGCTACTTCATCCATAGTTACGTACTTGGAGTAGCATCAAGAATGCATGGACTGTAAGTTTCCTGTTGCAAGCAAATCTTGAGCAATCTCCCGTCAGAACGGGTGAATGATGCGAACCTCGGCGTAGACAGCAGGATCCATCGTGATGACCTTTGGTCGCAATCAAGCATGCAGCTCTTTCTTTGTGGTGGGACAGCGCCTAATAACCTGCGGCCGATCCTAATCATATGAGAAGACAGAGCCACTCACTTGCGTAACGCGACAAAACACCGGACACCATTTCATGATTCTGTATGATGGTCATATGTAAGTTCATAATTAATGATCTGCCAAGCTAGGTTAATTATTGCAGCCAGACCTGATGCAGTATCGTGACTGTGCTAGTCCATTGCTACGTAAGGTCCCTGATTCCCCCAACCCCACAATCTTCAATTTCGTCATCCGCTATAGGCAAAGACGATAGCTTGCCTACCTAGGTAGGCTTGCTTCGTCTACATAGAAGGAAGAATTGCACGGGGTACGTTGCTTCGAAGCGCGTTGCCGACAGGTAAAATTACAGTAATTTCCGGTTCGTAATATCCAATCATTCGTCGAACAACAGCTTCAGTCCAGCCGTTGGCGGTAAAGCGATGTTGACACTCTCTATACTCGAACCGTTACTTTTTGCTTTACCAGGGTAGATGCAGTGGTGTAGCTAAATCTTCGCCCAGGACAACCTCAGCAGTCCCAATATCCCCTAATCAAGCAGATAATCATTGATCAGTACTCCATTGGCATGCCACGGCGCAAATCGTTTTGGAAGCTACTTACGAGGTCCTCGCGGTGCCCAGTATTCACCTGTTTTGCTAATATCAAGACTGTCAATCCAGTTGATGAGGCTCGCCGCCGCCTTGTCTGGTGTCACAGCTAGTTGATTAAACTCTTGTTAGCTTCCACGACAACATATATGTTATATAGCAATTGCTTGCGAGATCTCACCTCCACCATCATCCCAGAACTTGTCGAACCCTACGCCTTTTGTCATTTCAGTCCGCATAAAGCCTGGGTGCACGATGCTGACAATGACGCCCTGGTCTTTAAGATCCAAGCTAAGCAGCTTACCAACCATGTTGAGAGCCGCCTTACTTGCGTGATGAGCGTAGTTCCCACCCCCTTCCTTTGGATGTCGCAGAGTGATGCTGCCAGATTCGGACGATACAAGCACCACTTTGGAACCCTTGTGCAAGAGACCTTTGTGGATGAGCTGGTGAACGATAAAGACGGGGGCAATGGAGCTGGTCGTATACATCCGCTGCTCTTCCTCCCACTTCGGACCTTTGTCCAAGCTAAGGTCTTCTGTAGCGAAGTAACCGGCTGTGATGATCTTTCCTTGTCCCTCAGTCTCGTGAAACATTGAATCTGATCGTAATGCAGCAATTGGAAATGCTACTCACCACCGAGTCGATTGGCTGAGCTGGGTCTAGCAGACTGGCCAGCTTCTGACCAGCGTTAGATTGCATGAGGTCGATATCGGAAAGCCATTTGACTCCTGAGGGTGAATCTTTCGGACCCTCGGATGATCTGGTTGTACCATAGACGATGTTTTCGCTCTTTTCGGCGTATTTCTTGGTGAGGCTGGCACCCAAGCCACGAGTAGCTCCTACGATGAGTATGACTGCCATAACGAGGTGAGTGTATCAATCGGATTCCTCTTGTTTGTATAGCGGTCTCAATGGTTGCGGTAGCGGCTGATAGTTTGAAAGTTTTGTTAGCGAGGACTGTGTATGCTCTCAAATTTGGCTAACTAGGTCGAAGACAAGACTCCTCTCCTGCGACTAATAAAGTCATCTGAGGTGAGTACTCAAGGCCGTTGATTACATGTGTATCGACCACGCTGATGATGTCATTCTTGGATAGCGGGGCATGTCGCGCCATCTAAGGTTTTTAAGCATCATTCTTTTACACGAGGTAAGGTAGGTGCTACTATAAGTAAGGTAGCCCCTAGATATTCCACGGACATCAATAGAATGATCGATATCAATATCTCTCGTCCACAGTCGGTCTAACTTTCTCATATGGCACTACATATGTTCCCTTATATGGCGAAGAGTAATTTTGATATCAAGACCTAATGCCATGCTAGTAATCTGCTAATTCACTTCCACAAAGGATTAACCACTTATGCTTCCTTGGGCCCTTGAAGTGCTGATCAAAATGTAAGCTCTACCCTCTACCAGCCCACATTGAAGCTCATGTGCAAGTTACGCCAATTCTCCCTCCCAATAGTTCTGTTGTGGTCATTCAACCTGCTTGAAAGGATCGCTCTACATGATGTGGACATAGTTGACAACATGAACCATGGACATTTCATTTCGTTGTTTACAAGGCCATTTTATGACACTAACATCACAGCTCTATCCTTCAAACTCTACCACTGCCGATCCTCCAGTCGACCCTGTCGAAGTCGCGGTACCAGCACGGGGCCTGCCTTCGTTGGGGTTCACGTCGAGTAAACTCTGTTCTTGAGGTTTGCTTAGTGCGCCAGCCTCTGCATCTGCCCCATCTAATAAATCCCGGTCCGAGCTCCTCACGGATCGTCGTTCGATGTCGGTGCTGCTACCTGAAGGTCCCTTTCTCACGCCGACTTCAACTCCGAGATCATCGTCATCTTCTTCATCTTCTTCAGGTCGCTGTCCAGGTAGAGCGTTCTTCTCAAGTTCCTTCTGAGCCTCCTCCATGCGTCTCCTGACCTCAGTGGCGACACGCATTCCGTCCGTGACGATGTTATCAAGCACGCCGCGTAAGCCACGGCCTGCTCCTGGAGGGCCAACAGGCGGGGGAATAGGAGGTCTAGCTCCAAACCCAAGACTAGAGAATGTTGTAAGAGATGATGCTGACGATGCCGTATTGGGCAGCCCCTCGATGATGTGGAAAGAGGCTGGGAAAGACGACTCAAAGAATTGTTCTAGCAACTCATCCGCGAGAACAACCATGCGGAAGGTTGGTAACGTAAGGTGCAGAGGATGCGCAGGATCTAGCGCAGCGTTTGCTGCCTCAGATTTGGCTTTCGAGACCCTGCGTCGTGCCGCATCGTGGTTGTCAGCAGTGCTGAGAGAGCTCTCCGATGAGAGGCTGGGTTTCTTAGCCTTTGTCGGGGTTCCGGTTGGAGATTCGGGGCCCAAAAGATCATCTTCATCTTCCTCATCCTCATCCTCATCACCTATAGCAAACGCATCTCTCGAGTCGCCATCATCTAGTTTTGCCGAGGCCGTGTCATTATGCCCGCTAGCTGGATCTGCATACTCGAAGCACCGCCTTATAAAAGCACTCACACTTCCCAGGAACCTCTCGTTAGTCGATATACCAGGCGGCAAGCTGGATTGTGATTCATGCCCACTTGCTGAATCACTTTCAAGGGCACTGGAAGTTCCAGGACTCAATGTGCCCTCTAGACCCCGACGAGACAGAAATAGCAAAGCTTCTGAGATCCGTAAGATGCCTTCACGGTCAACCTTGCCGTCCTTATCGTCGTCATATAACTCGAAGAAGTATGTAATAGTGCCCATAATGTCACGTTTCCCTTTGATCTGCGCTAGGCCAGTAACAACGTTCTGGAGAGTCAGGGCAGAGCTTTCATCCACATCCCATTTCTTGAATAAACGTTGCAAAAATTCGTGATCAGCAGGCTCCGGTCCTCCACCCCAGGGCGACATTATTTCGGATGGCCGCCTGGCGCTGTGAAACATATTTTGACGGTCGTCATAATTGCTATACTTTGTCGCACCTGGTGAATCCGATATAGCCCATTTTGACATGCTTGCAAGAAATTCGCGGAATGCATCGTAGTCCATGAGACTTGTACTTGGTCCTAACCCAACGCGTCCCTTTTCAACTTCGTCGTGATGAGTTGCGAAAATCTCGGATGCCCGCATCCTGCTTGACTTCGCTCGCCGCAATTTCTCTTGTTGAATCATATGGTCCCTCTGCTGGCGTTCGTATAGGATATTGTAGAACCGATCATATAGTGAACCAAGCTCATCAGTACTTAACAATTTGCTTTCGGGACCCAGATTGCGAATAGCGGTCCTCTTGGCAAAGTTCTCAATATTATTGAGGACAGCGTCCTTATTCTTCAAACGCAGCTCGGTGATACTGCTGTGAGTTATTCCTGCGAACTCCTTGAAGGCCACGACCATCAGTTCCTGGAATCGGGTTACGGCACGCAACTTGGGATTTTCAGACTTGGGATGAGCCGACTCATCCAAGCGGACAAAGTAAGCCTTCAGAACTGAAATGAAAGCTCCGTCATCCGCCGCATCAAGCAACTCCTCGCCATTGATACGCAAGATTGCCAGGCCTACCTGAAACAGTACCTTTGGCCCTTCGACAAAGAAAACGTCCAGGACACGAAAGGCAAAGACAAGGGGCATCGAGTTGATGTAAAGTGACAGGAACCAAGGGAGCGAGACGACAGACAATTGCACGTCGCTTTTGACAAGATGATCCCAGAGTATGGGCATTGTCCTTTCCACCAAGGACTCAAATACCTTCTGATCAAGAAGGGTTCCATACATGGTCGTGGAGTAGTACCCGGGCACGAGTCTGTCGCAAAGTGCTGAGAGGAGAAAGAAAGCCTGAGCTTCAGACATGTAAATCAATAATGCGGCCACGACAATATTCATGGCTTGGCAATATCCGACCTCGGTATTGACCCAGCTGTAAGCAGTTAATACCCGACGTAGGCGGTTGATTCCATCCTCGCTTTGGAAGCCTGGATACTCCGGAAGACTTCGGTTGAGGTCCTTCTCGATCTCGTCGATAGCAAGCGACTCTTGGCCTTCAAACTTTGCCAGGGTATCGGTATAGAGTGCTGGATTTTCCAGGCGTAAATAAATCGAGCCAGATGTGAGTTCCCAAATCTCGCCTCTGAGCCGGTTCGGCAGACCAACGCGAATGAGCTTGTGGAAAGTTGGTTGGCGGATCAAGGTAAAGTTTCGACCATTGTCACGTAGATACTCAGCCCAGAGGCGCATTTTCGCCCTGTCCCGTAGCTTTTTTGGGTCGCCGGGATATCGGAAAAGCATTCCTAGGCCAGCATCTGGTGGGGATGCATTTTTCCTATCCTCGGTCCTGAGGAGATGCTCGGAATAGCACTCAGCAGCGACTCGTCGTAGTTTGGCAACATTGCCAACTCCTGCCCTTAGGCCTTTTTTGAGGCCATCACAAAAACGCTCGCAAGACTGCCTGGTCCCGGCCAGATGGATTGTAATACGTTGCTCTCTCAAGTCCTTTTTGTCCTTTAAGTCCTTGTCTTTAGGAGTGTCGGCGAGAAGACCATTCCAGGTGGTTAGAGCCAGTGCGAACTGGATCATGGCAAGGTCAGTTTAAGTAATACGCATGAGCGCCTCGCCAGTATGGACCATACCTGAAAGTTTTGGCTATTCAGGCGCTCAACCCTTCGTATAGCACATAATGGAAATGTGAAGCCGTTGCCGCTGGGGCCTCCGCCATGTGTCTGGCCAGTGAAAGCGGTCGACGTGGAAGTACTGGCGGATTGGACAAAGCTAGTAAGAGTTGTTGAGAAGCACATAAAATGCTCTGATAGATGCAATTTTCCAGCATAATGCCATCCTCTCTCTTGATCCTTATCGCCGTGTGTCGCGTTGGAAGGTGGAATAGTAAGCTCGGCGTTGATCTCGTAGAGGGGTGTCTGGGAGGCAGGGAGGCGGAATTGACTTTGGAATAGGGACGACTTGGAAGGATTGCGATCTGAACTGGAAAGATTGAGTCCCTGGGTAGGGTCAATAAGCTGCTGCGCTTTCTGGACAATGTTGGTCAAGTTTGAGAACATGATTTCGGTCAGCGGCGCATGACGAGGGGGATGCGGTTCGACAGGGAGTATGCGGCTGAGCTGGAAGAATAAAGGCTAGGAGTAGGAGATACAGAACGAGTGTGAGAAAGCGAGGCCGTTTGCAATTATCTGGCAGAGTACAAGAGACTAGATATGCGATAGTACAGAACAGACGGTAGGATTTCAGTATCGGGGCTGGACGAAGGATGAAGACAGCTTAAGTTATGGAGAGGAAACCTGAGGTCAGTGGAGATGGATGGGGTCCAGCTGCGTCAAGTCTCCAGATATGGGAGTTGGGCCATCAGCTACTGGCCAGGGAACCTCAGGGCATTCCTCGCCCAAAAGCCGCTACTAGGGGCTCCCTAGGGCTCCCGCTTCAAGTAGCCCAGGGAGTTTTCCTGTCCATTTAGAGCGTAGTTGAAGTATTCGAGAATAGTGTGGCTCAACCTGTGGCTCAAGTGGAGTGTGTGAAAAGGACGAGGTTATCAGGTTTACTTACCCTATAGCGTTATGATTATTTATAGATTCATGTCAAGCTGCAGGTAGGTAGGTCCTATATTTATTCTAAACGTTTTACACTCTAAATAGCTTCAACAGGATTAATTACAAGGTGGCCCGATTCATTACAGCGACTCTACTGGTTAGTATTAAACACTGCTAGTGTCCCAAGGCTTCTTTGAGCTGGAAAGCCGTCACTGTTGCTAGATATGGCAGCTGGGAGGGCCACAGATTTCCTACACTCGGAGGCTGCATGATCAGGGTGCCTGGAGGAGCAAGGCCGCTTTTCATCTTGCTCAAGCTCTACTGGACGAGGCTGTAGGGGTTTGCTTGCACTGGTTGTGCTCAAGTGGCAGCAAAAAGGAAGCTTAAAGAAGTGCATGCTGGCAAGGAAGGAGAAGAAGGATAGTGAGATCAGAAGGAATCGCCAAACAGAATTATCAGTACAGTCGGTACCTAGATTTGCTGCTCATATTTCATGGCTATAGATAGCCTGATAGCGAGTTTGCTTAATTTACATACTTACCCATGGGTTCTAAAAGATACGCAGAAAGCAGACAACAAAAGGATATAATTGTACCTCATATTCGTGAACATAAACATCACGAAGTTAGCACAGATTATGAGCATTGTTCTCTTTGAGGTAAACCGGTGAATAGCAATATCACCAAGGCACTATGGACGGAAACAATGAACAAGAGTTTTAGAGACACTCTGGACAAAGTATATACTGAACAACGTGGCCGCGGAAGTATTGCATGCGGTGTAAGCACCAAGTACAATAACATGTACCTATACTGGCATCTCTGATAAAATATCATTGCTGCTTTGGTGATCTAGTCACTCCCGAAAGACTTCGTGATGCCTGACTCGACTTAGGTTGCCTTAGAAGAAATGATCTAAGGCAGAATATATTGGGAAGTGCAGATTCATCACTGGGTCCCAGGATGATCAAGGTAACATATGCCTTATAATAGAATCTGATCAGGGTTATTCAACAAACTTATTGGCTACAGCTGAATTTCGCAGACAAGCGTTAACGAATGCAAAGGCGTTAGGTACCTACATAGGTAGACCGCACGGTCGAGCTTGAATGACAACCTAGGTTCTCAGCCTTGTTGGACAGCTTGCTCTTTTCAATGCTAGTAAGCTAGCTGAAAACTGCCAAATGTGAACGTCAAGACATGCTGTGCCACTAGTGACCAGGTAGGCAAAGGACAAACCTTGAGAGTTGTACGAAGCTAGGTCTAGTTATGATTGAGGCCATCCCCAGGCCCGAAAGCTTAAATATACCATGGTTTTTACTGTCATCTGGCAGAAAACGGGTTTCCCAACCGGCTTTGGTAGGTTAGTAGTTTCGTTGCCGACTTGGGCTACTGGTAATAGGCAAAAACATCCAACTGCCGTCCAGCACCGAATTAAGCGCTATCTCTGCACATCTGCTCAAAGACCCAATGCTGCATACCTACTTTAGTGAGTGGTACGTATAAGTGCTTGGCGGTGCTGCCGACATACCCAGACTTGCCCAGAGCAGCCCGTTATCTCCCGCGTCTGAGATCTGACGTATATGGACTGCATGGAATGGAATGGAGAGACTGATGAGAGCGTGGGGATGGCATGTCTTGAAGTGACATTCCAGTTTCAAGGATCTCACTCTAGGATGGATTTCACTCTAGGATCCGGCAGATTGGGAGCAAGAGCCGGCGGCAGATGACGCAAGTGGATTTCGATTTAAGTTACCTTGGTTTTTTTGTTAATTGTAGGTATTCGGCAAACATCCTTGGAACAGGTGAGATAGTTGAAGTGTCTGGGCTACACTTCCCAGCTTTGAACGTGAATCATACGAACATTTCAGAGCGAGGCTGTGACTGTAAGAGATAAGGGGTACGAGTGAGAGTTGTATTCGTCTCCGATTATGCAATATAACCCTCCTTTCCCTTTACGTCAAATAGCAGAAGCCATAAGCTCGACGACACCACCACTGACAACTCGTCGATCGCCAAAAGGGTATCTCTGGGTGGCCTCTCAAGTTCCCCGTCACCCACATTTTGCGTCATAATAGATAGATCCTGGACTCCCGCCCCGAGTCCACTTTATGTGCTCCGCTGTATCTACAATAGATCACAGTTGATAGGAGGCTGAAGCCCAGACAAATGACAATGTATTTTCAAGTGCACCTGGAGTTTTGCTTCATGGAGATGGTGCCTTGGACACAGGTAAGAGATCAATATTTCAGGAAGAAATAGATAATGTACCAATGGGATATCAGTCATGGTTCTGAAATCTATATGGCCTCTTTCAGATACTCGTGCCATACATCGGCCTCCAGCCGAGCATACATATCCATGACATCCGATGGCGCTCCTTCACTCACCGTTTCATGGGGACGCCCTCGTCTTAATCCTGAATAGGCACTCACGCTGCATTGGCTGTTTACTATAGTAGTCTAGTTCATAGGCTAGGCAAGGCACATAAACATCACGTCAAAGCCGTTCATTTTTTTAGCTTCTCATTCTGCCTCCATCTTCATCACTATCTCATCTCGCTCGTGCATTGCCCACCTTCCGCCGCCTTTTCCCATCCGCCTCAAGAGTCTCACCTCTTCCTCTTCCTCAGCCTCACTTTTGGTTCCAAACCTGCTGTCAACAACCTTAGCCCATTTATTGATCGAACCTTTGCGCTCAATCTGAATTTCGGTCCTTGAGGCTGCCACTTGGAATAACGGGCCGGACCTGAGGACGCCGCATCACTCCGTTATCCATCGTCTCCGCATCGTCAGGAGAACCGAGCCAGACTTGCTCTAGAACCCCCCCAACTGACCGCGTGACAAAAGCACAACCACAGGCGACAACGGCGAACAACTCAGCGTATGCTAGAGGTCCCCTCGCTTTTCGAATTGCATCCAATTTACTGGCCATATCGACCGGATTTCTGGCAGTGTTGGTCCCGGGTTGTTATGGGCTCGCGCCTCAACCCCAGTCAATAATCGATTCCCATTGACTTCCCCCCTTTGCCACTCTCTTCACCTCTCTGCTGCCGCGATCATATCACAGGACTTCAGGACGATAAAGCCATGGCTGCGACTGTTGCGCCCTCACACGCTGGTGGCCTACCATCTTCATCGGGAATCCCTGCGCCCTCGCATTCCACAAACTCTCACTCACATGCCCAAGATGCTCCGAATGGACCAACATCTCCCACGCCAAGTCCATTACCGCAAACCCGAAAATTCAATCTTCGCGACTTCAGACGAGTTCGTACACTTGGGACAGGTATGTCCATGTCTTGTAGACTTATAGGCATTCCGCTTCTGACCCCCCGAAAAAGGAACATTTGCTCGGGTCTGCCTCGTCCGTCCCGCCGCAACTGCGCATATCCCCCTTGACCATCAACTCAACCCCGAAGTCTACGCCCTCAAGATCCTGCGGAAACCGGAAGTCATCCGCCTTAAACAAGTCGATCATGTCCGACACGAACGAGCTATTCTCGCTGATGTCGCAGGCCATCCTTTCATCACAAACCTAATAGCCTCCTTTTCCGACCAAGATTCGCTCTATATGCTGCTCGACTACGTTCCAGGCGGAGAGTTGTTCACATATCTTAGAAAGTTACGACGCTTTGAAGAACCTGTCGCACGCTTCTATGCCGCCGAGATTGTTCTTGTTTTGGAGTACTTGCATGAGCAGCAAGGAGGTATTGCCTATCGAGACCTTAAACCTGAAAACCTGCTTCTGGATCAAGAGGGCCACATCAAGCTTGTCGATTTTGGCTTTGCCAAGCGACTCGGCTACCGTGAGGATAACCGCCCCGTCGAGACATACACCTTGTGCGGAACGCCTGAGTATCTCGCCCCCGAAGTCATCCAAAACAAAGGTCACACAGGCGCAGTTGACTGGTGGGCACTGGGTATTCTAATATATGAGTTCTTGACGGGGTATCCTCCTTTCTGGCACCAGAACCCCATCGAGATCTACAAGCAGTGGGTAACTGTTCGACAGATGTATGAGAATGGCAAGTTAACTATTTTCCCGCAGGATCCTAGAAAAGCCGGTTGTCTTTCCCCAAGACCCCCCCTTATCAGAAGAAGCTAAGGATATAATACGGTCGTTCTGCACCGTCGATCGTTCTCGGCGCCTTGGTAATATAAGCGGCGGTGCAGCGCGTGTGAAATCCCACCCTTTCTTCCATGACACCAACTGGGATGACATTTTCAACCGTCGGCAAAAGGGCCCAATCCAGCCCCCGATACGATATCCCGGCGATGCACAATGCTTCGACGTCTACCCCGAGGATGACGGATCTCGCGAGCCTTATGGCCGCGAGATGGCGGAGAAATATGACCCATACTTTGCTGACTTCTAATCACGAATCACCCACACATCTGGATCGGAAGATGGGTGCGTGTCTGGTCATGCCAAACATCCACTTAATACATGAGAATTACTCGGCAGTCAGACTCCAAATACGCGCAAACACATACAGGGTGCCCAAATGACCCTCCAGAATGAACATGAACACAATGACGAATTACGATTCAGCGCCAGGAATATCGGTTCTTAATTAGCATTTCTATTAAGCCTTTATGACCAATGCCTGGGGAACAGCGTTTCACTACGAATAATGACTTCGACGAGGAGATAGGAGATACTATACTACATTAGTCCTTGGTATCCAATATTCATTCAAACCCCATTGCTTTTTATGTATTTTTACCTCGTGCAAGCCAATGGTTCAGCCCATGACATCAGAGTTGTATAGGCTGTCATAGCACCTGAAGCTTTATATTACTCGTACACCTGACGCTCGCTTCTCTCGGCGCCGCGAAATGCGCAGCGAGACAGTGAAGGATAATCTTGCAAACACCGCATTTCTTGTTCAATGAATTTATTTGTTAGCGCTATTTGCCTTTGCTTGCTGCGAAACTAACACAATACTAGGCCTTTGCATACATGATGTTTGAGTGCTTTGCGTGCTGCCATATGCTACCTGAATGAGTTGTATCGACCAGCAAATAATGAAGTGAGTAATGGGATATAGCGACAGGCACGCAGTCTAGCGTCACAAGCATAGTACAAGACACCTCCCACCGAGCCTTTTGAAGTTGCTGGTTTTTTTTTGTAATTATGTTTTCGCATCCCTCCGAGACCAGAGAGAACAATGCAGTAAAAGTGTGGCTCAGAACCGCCGGTGCAACCAGTACACACCTGCACCAAAAGCGAGTACTGTGGCCAGGATACAGGCACCCTCCTTAGTACTCCAGAGGTACATGCTCCAGCCTGCCATGACCTCCTTACGGCGTGCGGCGGCCCGGCGCTCCCAGGCCTCTGGGTCAATTTCCATAGGGAGTCGGGCCCGAGGGTCCTTGCTTACACCACAATCCAGGTCTGACGGCGGGGCCATATCACTCGGTGAAATGAGGGGCACGTCGATACGTAGGTACACTGGACGATGGTCGCTCATACGCAGTACTGGAAGACAGTCATAAGCACGAACGTTGAGCTTGGGGTCCTGGCTATTCCCTTTTTTGAGCCATGAAGGTACATCGAGAAAAAGGATCCGATCTGTCCAACTTGGATAGCGATGAACTGCAAATTTCCAGGGCACGTCAAGCTCAGGCTCTCGCGTGCCAGGTCGTGGTGGTAGCACATCGTACTTGTAAGTCGGCGGGAAGCGCACCTCGTGCTCTGATAGCCCATGTAAAGTCCGACCAGCGTTACGTTCACGAGTAAGCTGATCGAGGCGGAAAAAATCTGGATAGTAGTTCTCCGAATCCGGGTCTAGACTGGGGAATGTAGCGGAAGGCGGCGGGGACGTGGTAGATATCCTATAATTTAGATCACCGGCAACAAAGAGAAATGACGAGGGCCTGAAAACGGAGATGTTGTGCAACTGTTGTTGAAGTTGTAAGTGTTGCTCGTTGTGTTCATTATCGAGGAGGCGCGCACGCTCGGGCTCGTCCTCGGCAGGTGGTGTTGAGGCTGGAGATGGGGTGACAGAGGTCTTGTAGCTATTCACAACCACTTCTGGGTTTTCAAAAGCCATACCACGCATTATAGCAGCCCAGTTGGCGTTACGCCGGGGCAAGTTCCATTCCATAGCCGCCAGGTGTGTTGCGACAAAGGTAAGCTCAGATGAGCCACCATCAACTTCATAGAGCATGCGTAGACCGACAGCGCCCTTGTTCCCTATCTCAGCGGCCCCAAATCCGACTTCCGCCTCTTGAATATTCTTTAGCCTTGAAGGCTCGCGAGCGAAGAGCAGTATGGCGGTGTAGCCCACATTTTTGCCTCGCACAAGTGTGTATGGCTTCGAGGGGAGGGCAGTGGGCGCAGTGTTAACAGTCTCGCTATCTCGGCTCGATAGATCGTCGATTATATGTTGAGCGGCGATATTGATGGCTTGTTCGTATCGTGAGAGGTACGGGTTCAAGAAGTAACCACCAATGAAGGAGTACGCCAAGGGTGCCACCTCCTGTAACGAGCTGCGAACAGAACATGAATCAGTACAAGATATTCCGGTGCTTTATGTAGACCTTGTGCTGATCATGTCTAGAGTTCCATGACTGTCCAGGCTAGCAGGGTATAGATGGCTTTGGTAACCTGATCGCCTTCGGAAGAGACGAAGAGGATTGCAGCTTACAGAACAACCACCTCTGGTAGACCAGTTGCGTTTTGACGAAAGGCGGTTTGCAAATGGCTGCCGAAGACGGGGACGTCGAGAAGGTTCTTGGCACAGTTGAACGTGAGATACAAGAGGTCAATAGAAGAGGGTGTCATGGTGGATAAGGCGAAGGAAGACGATAATTTGGATTGGGAAGTCGATGTTTTCGTTGATGCTGCAGTCGTGGATTTGTTTACTGAAGTCGATGCCGCCATTACAAAACACGACATTCAGGTCCCGGTGTCAAAAAAAAAAAAAAAAAAGTCAAAGACCTTTGCAAGGATGAAGAAGAGAAGTGGTGAGAGAGGAGCCAACTAACTTAAGAAACTATCTGAAGAGACAAGAACAAGGGTCCCGCTGCAAGTCTAAAAAGGGCAACCTCGAGTGTGCGCAGAGCTCACGACATGCAAGGGAGGTAGGTAGGTTACAGGTAGGATGGTGGGCAGGTGAGATTGAGGATCTGGAACTGGCTGGCTGCAAGCAAGGTAAATGTGGGGTTAATGCTTGGTTTCGTAGATCACTATCGACTTTTGACCCGGTTTAGGCTTTGTTTTGTGGGTGTCGACATGCAGGCATGATCACTTGAGATCCAATCGTCAGCATAGGCCAAAGAATGGATCGATCGCGTGGCCAAGCTTCTCCTTGGGATCCCAGAGTAACACTACAGATTTCGACACCCTTGATGATGTACACACCTTCCAACTCCTGCAAGGTACGGCTATCAACGTAAAGCTCAACATGGCACTTGCCTTATGCTCTCCTGTGTTGTGTTACATGAAGTTGCTCAGTCAAATCCACTATCAGAAACTGAAGACTAGGTACCTAGGTATTCTTGAGATGATGGCTGGCTTAGTAGGTACATGAAACGTTGTACATCTTCACTTCTCTGTTTCTCCAACGTCTACTGGCCTGCTATGCAATAAGATCCTATCATCCTTGTTGCCGCTCGACATAACGAGATCTGTAGCCTGCGAGGCACGCATTTCACACATGTGACCATCCAAAAGGCCTTGTGATTGGGAAGACGGTTCCTCGTACAACCATTCGAGTCTACTCTTTCAAGGCTACGGATTACTAATAACGATCGATATGACGCATCGATCTGAAGTTCAGGGACAATTTCCAAATAAAACAGACTGAATTTGTAGACTACCTAATGTGCGATCAAGAAATGAATGAAGGGGTGGATGGATGTACGCAAGATGCAGGGCTGCTCAACCCGGCGGTTGAGAATGTTGGCTCATCAACCATGTATCCTTTGCTTAGGAGTTTCGTCAATACCCGATTTCCAAACCTTGGGCTTCATGATGGGAGTGTCATGTCAGCTGCCGTGTCAACACAGTGTCTTTGAAGGTTGTAGCAACTTGTGTCAACTTGTTCGCCCCAATGAAGCTCCTGATTCCATCCACCAAGTCGACCAGTAGGATACCGGAGCTGACCTTAACGTAGGCCGGTAACTCCCACTGTTGCATCTGCCACTGCACCACGATCCTCGGCCAACGTGGGCTGCTATCCGTAACAGGCTTGCCGTTCGCGACATGGTGTTGAGACTAGCTTTACCAGCAACATAACTCCTGAAATGCCTCCCCAGAAGCTATCTCCGACAGGTAGGAGCAGACTCAGAAGACCAGAGCAAACGTCCGTGCAAATTGAAAGAAAGCAAAGAAAATACGATGAAGGAAATGCCTGCTGGGGGATCGAGCTGAGCCGCTTCGACGGAAAGGTGAGCCATAGCGAGGTGTGGACCCAAATTCAGCTCCAGGGGCGAATTTTGTATTATCGACACCATGGCAGGTGGCATTCCGAGGTAAGGCTATTTTGCGAGTAGCAATGATAGCCCCACAGGTTCGGTACACCCAGAAATAGGAGTACCGGACATGCCGTTCAGGAAGGTCTCCTGAAGGTATTGTAGTCGCTCAAAGGATGAAGCCCGAAGGTTTATCCATTGTGCAACTTTTCAACCATCAAGAGATACCCGAGCCATGCGTAAAGTCGTGAATTCGCCAAAAGATACGTCGAAGAACAAGATAAGAGCAAAGGCGTAGAAAATAGGCGTGACCGATCCGCGCTCCAACATTCGACCGCGATCAATAAGCAGAATGATGACCAGCAGAATCATTCAGCTGTGCAAAAGACTTGCATCCGGGTGTCGATGTTGGGTGTGAATCGCCAGTATCGGTAGCCATAAGTGAGAATCCCAAAAAGAGAGGAGTCATCGGTTTAGAAATCATTTCGGCCGATAGCTGCCCGAGGCATATCCCGCTCCCTTTGAAGCTGAGCGAAGCCTGTTTATCGTCCACTGAGTCAGCCATAGTTGTCAGCAAATCTCCCTTCGGCAAGCGGTACAAAAACACACTACACGCGCGAAGGAAAAAGATTCCTTACGAGGGACTAGAAAAATAGGCGTTACTTATCACTCACATCCTGTCGCTTCCACCGATGGCACGGTTGGTGTCGGGAGTATCGACGCCAGCACCGGAGCCTCGCTCGAGCATCTTGCGACGAGTGCTGGGGATGGCATTTGGCTTAGCAGCAGACTGGCCGGCAGTAGCGGCGTTGGTACGGCTGGCACGAGCCTTTTCCTCGTCTTCAGGGTTGGCCTGACCGGCAGCCTGTGCGATAGCCTGCGCGTTCTTCTGGTACTTGTAGACTGTCCAGTCGAAGACATAATCGTACTGGAAACCCTCGCGAACAAAAAGGTCGCGGAAGATCTTGCGGAGGTAGCTGTAATCAGGCTTGTCGTCGAATCGAAGAGATCGAGTGTAGTTGAGGTAGATTGCGAACTCATTGGGGAATCCACGGCAGAGAACCTCAGTAGGGGTGGTCATCTTCTTTTCCATGATACGGTCGTACTTCTGCTTCTTGGTGGCGGCTTTCAAGCCCTGCCAAGGGAGAGAGCCACGGCAGAAATAGAGCATAACGTAACCGAGGGACTCCATATCATCACGTCGTGATTGCTCGACACCCAAGTGGGTGTTGATGGAGGCATAGCGCGCAGTACCTGTCAGATTCTTGTTCTCTCTGTAGGGGATGTGGAAGTGAGTCTTGGGGTCGCGATACTTCTTGGCAAGACCGAAATCAATAACGTTGACTTGGTTGCCTCTTTTGCCAATACCCATGAGGAAGTTGTCGGGCTTGATATCTCGGTGGATGAAAGACTTGGCGTGGATGTATTCGATTCGAGAAATGAGCTGATCTGCCAGGAGAAGAACCGTCTTCAAGGAAAACTTTCGGTTACAAAAGTTGAAGAGATCCTCCAGACTGGGGCCGAGAAGATCGAGAACCATGGCATTGTAGTCGCACTCAGTACCAAACCAGCGAACAAACGGGATTCCAACGCCACCAGCAAGAGACTTGTAGACACGGGCCTCATACTCCAGTTGCGGGTGCTTGGCCTTGACCGACTCGAGTTTGATGGCAATCTCCTCACCGGAGATGATATTGGTGCCCAGGTAGATATCGCCGAAAGAACCTGAACCGATCTTTCGACCGATACGGTACTTATTACCGACGCGAAGATCCTGCCCAACAGAGTTAGCAAATGCTGCAATAATGTTCATCGTCTCTCCCCAAGCTCCGGTATAACGAGACCGATCAAAAAGGGCCTACGGTGCCTAAAGATGATTGACATCGTTTTGGGGGTGTTGTGCACCGAAGCCTGAATCGAGACACTGGGGACGGGGAACGTACCATGGTCGTCATGATGAAAGTTGATTGTTTTCTGTTCCGTATGAATAAAAACGGATAGATAAGTGTGCAATTTTGTGTGATCTGCAAGCCTTCGTTGGCTATATGGGGAGTCAGCAACGTTTAGGTTCGGTTGAAAGGTAGATGAATGAAAGCAAATGAGAAAGGGCGGCAATGCATGCAATGAGAGGGGCAAAACTGGGTCGGATAAGAATCAGGCTTGAGGGCGGTGGACAACGCCACAGGGCAAATCCGACGCAACTCGACGTAAGAGCGACTCGCCCGACAAACAGTATCAAGAAAAGCCCGCGTAGGCGTGAGTCGGTGCATCCGAATGACAGAAAATCACGAGACCAACGAGCCGGTTGATACAAATCCGAAAAAAACCCATTTCGGTGTAGGAAAAATGATCAGCTAACGTACCTGCAAGAGAATCGTGTGCGTTTGGAGGCGGTCAAAACGCGTGCAGGATGATCTTTGGGAGGAGACTGCGTCGGTTAGGTGAGAATCGGGGCAAGCTAGGAGTTAAAAACTCGGTCAGGATTCTCGAGGACTATGTGGCTCTGTAATTTCTCAGGTTCTTGTTGAAGCTGTAAGAAAGGACTAGAGAATCTCAACAGCTGTTGCAGACGTAAAGTCGCAAGGTCGTCGTCGAGATGACAGTGGGTGTAGGTAGGTAGTTAGATGTTAGGAGAAGAGATGGCGGAAAGGCGTCGTGGGGTGGAAGAAGGGAATGGGAGAAAATGGCAGGCCGAGGAGGAGAAATGGGAATGAATGTGGAAGGGGGGCGGGTAAGAAAGAGCAAGTGAATGAGAAAAGTGGAGAATGGGGAGAACGAGGCCTGAGGGTGAGTGAAAAGCAGCCCATCATTTGGGGAAGGGGGAAGGGAATTTGTCTGAAGGGCGGGTGGCGGGTGATCCCAGCTGGAGGCTTCCAGCATGGATGGACAAGAACCAGAGCCTATGAATGGGCCCTGACGCGCCCTTCGACCGCCATATTAGGCGCTTTTCACTGGATCAGCCACAACTTAGCGGTCCGTTTCCAGGGGGCTCGGCGTCTACTGGACAAGCGCACGGCGCACTCCCCTCCCCAGCGCGACGGGGCCGCTCACTGGCTCACACCTCCATTCAGTCTTCACCGTCTAGGACTGTTCAAGGGCAGGTCCCGTCGTCTTCTGGACCTGAATGCGGCCCAAAGTGGGGGATGGGGCAACAATTGGCAGGCCAAGACAGTGGAAATAAGACCAGTTACAGACAGGGTGCAGAGTCAAGGCTCAGAAGTGCATGAATCGAAGTCTCACTAACACGTACAAAGACAGCTCCGGATGTTTCATGATGAATCAATCATTCAAGCTGTTTGCTTCTCTCTTGGTGTTTGCATGACCTCGGTACACGTCTTATACCTTCCATCACTGGCAACATAGTCCAGCCGGTGTAGCCCAAGTATCAGACCTAAAAATCTCTCAGCACTGACCTACATGTATGTAGTAGTCTACCTCGTAATTCAATAGGTACCTAGGTTCGGGTCTCCGATTCGGCTGTTTCTTGAATCATGTTGCAATCGGGTAACTACCACGGATAATGCTCCGTATCAGCATCCTGACATCCATCCCAACACATTGAGGGTTGCCCTCTACTAAGCTAGGCCATCCGCATCGCCAATGTCAGTAGCCGCCCTTGCAATGACGATCTGGACAAGGCCTGCCGATCACAGCACCGCCAGGCAATTTACACAATATTTTCCAAGATCACGACGATGTTGAGTTAGAATGTATCATATGCTTTCAATGACAGACGTCTCGTGGGTGTGTTTTCATCGAACCGCTGAGATAAGTAATCTGATTCAACAATTTAGGGCTATGGAAATTGACTCCATGGGAGTGCAAATATGTAGCCTCTCTGTTGGTGACATTGATGAATATTGCTGTTACTTATAATATCAGTCTTGCCGCGCTTAGTTCCATGAATGATATATATATGTGGACTATTGTTGAATGTTGCACATCTTTAATATGGTGGAAAGAATGGCAAAGGAAAACGTAACTACTGCCCAATCTTTCTTGATCCGGGTATTCCGTTGTTTGCTTATTCTGACCGGCCTCAATATTCTGCTTTGAAAGCCTGATACCTACCTATGTAAAACAACGAATTGCACAGCTCCGGCTCAGCCTCCCCGGTGAGGGGTGCAAGCGAGCGAGCGAGCGAGCTGTAACCGGGCGGTAAGAGAGGTGATAACAGCTCAGAGATAATTTAAATTATTAGCGAACCTGCGTGGATTCCCTTGATTTGTCTCGTGGCATCAAGCACGCTCTGCTTTCTTTTATGTGGTAACTAACGAGGTATCATACTATTATATGACAGAGAAATGGAGAGACGGTTCGGAGCAAACCGATCAACCACACAGCAGACGGCATCTCCGCTAGAGGCAAAGAATTCTTCTAGCGCCTCGACCTACCTGGCTAGTCATGGAAGATATCTTAGCCTTCTCTTACTCGATGCACCGAGTGAGAGAAGGCTAAGCTGAGAATAAAATATCAAAACAGCTTCTATCATGAAGTATACGAGACTGACAAATATATGGCTGTATTAGTAGTTAATTTGTTGGACTTGTACAGCCAGGTGACATTGAAATGATGGAGTTTCGCTTCCGATCTTTTGTCTTTTTCAACCTCATAATAAAGCTGAGATATTGTCGGTCCGTTATTTACCTTCGGAGCCGGCCATTCGTGACCATACCCCAATGCTCACCGACTTATCATTCAACAAATCCATATAACACATTATTTAATTCATGTTTTCCTTTTGCAAAGGGCGCTACGTACATGACTTTTCAGGATGTTTGCATTAAGAATGTCACGAGAACTGACTTGCAGCGCCCCATCACTCAATACGCTCCCAAAGCTCACATGATGGATGGCTCACTCAGACTTGGTGCTGTTCCGTTTGGCCCGGCTGATTACAGCAGTGCGAGTCTCAACTGATAATTAAGGAGCGACGCTGTGTACCTAATCTGTCTCACCTGTCCACCGGCTGCGTGCATCGAGATGCCAGGGTCTGTGATGGCTTGCAGGATGTCAGTGAGCTGAAAATAGCTGCCCTGTGCTGTTATAGGCAAGGTACTTAGTTATACGGTGCGACTATATCCAACGCGCCCCCTGTGACAATCACCATCTCGCTACCTTACGCTTCCTTGGGCCCAGAACTACAAGAGCTTCTTCAAGGCATGCCCGTTTGAATTCCCAAGATTGAATGCGTCTCCATTCACTACTTGAGTTTGTACGCCCGGCGTTCAAGGTGAAACACATTGAGAGTGTGGCAGGCACAGGTAACCTAGACGCCGCCAGATGAACCGGGCTTGGTCAACACAGCCCTCCAATCATTCCGCTCTCCAGTTCTTCAAGCCATAACTAAACGCTTCATCATCATCCGCAGAAGTAGTTGAGTCTTCTGCGATCTAATCAAAATAATACCAAGGCAATATTCTCAACCTGGCAAGCGGTAGCGAGGTTCTTCTGTGCACAGGTCACAATTTGCAGCTCGCTGTTATGTATATCAAGGGTCCTAGGTACCTATACCTACCTACGAGACATGAACTTACTTTTATAGCTGTACCGAAAAGGTCAATATGTGTGTAATTGCGAATATGTACTCTTGGCTTCAGTTCGCAATATAACCGAGCTTGTTGTACATACATGGTTATTGAGTTCAACAGCAACGGGCCAGCCAGATCTGGTCTCATGACGCAATGCCTGTAGTCAATTCATGATGTCACCCAGCACATAACTTAATTGTTCTTATCGATAGGGGTAGTCTACTGAGCAATGATTTGGATAGACTCTTATTTCTCAGAATGATCCTACCTAATTTTCTCTTTCATTAACTAAATTGCATGCATCATCTGTTTACCAATCAAACCGAGCGCTGATTTATGAGTGAAGTTGTAAAATCGCTCTGGGGTTATGTAAAAGTCAAGAAGTATGTAAATTCTGTTACAGCTGGTACACAGCTTTGAGTTCACCCAATGGAAGATACAAGAAAGATAGCTCTAAGCCTTCTATTAATATTTTATAGTATGATATGTTATCCTTTGCATCACAACTGACCGCCTTTGGTAGAGCTGTAAGTTTATGTCTGTAGAGTCAAGCCGTATTTTCGATGAAGTGCTTAGTGTTTATAACGGAGGAGACCGACCTTAGGGGCTAAGGCTACGCTCTCGTGTTTTCGCTAATCATAAAGGCATGAATGCATATGAAATTCGTTGTCCCATGGCTAACTAGATGGCACAAAAGTAAACCAAATTTCGAGGGAGCTATATAGACAAAACTGTTTAGTATCCCGGTGCACTGGGTCCCTGTGGTGGATGTCCGGATTCTGAAGCACCTCTGCACTGAGGAGCCAAGTGAGGTACATGAAAGTGATGGCCTTGGGGGGGGTACTGGCCTGGTGCCTGCTGCATCGGTTGTCCCTGTTGTCCTTGCAAACCGTTGGAGCCCGGTCGATATGATGCCGATTGTCCTGATTGTCCTTGAAGATATGGTGCCAACGTGCTTTCCAATACCTGGCCCGTCTTCTTTAGCCATTTATCTGCGGAGCTGCTGCCGAATAACTTCCCTCCGCCACCAGCTAGCTTTCCAAGGCCAGGCCGTGGTGGCAGCGCAGGAGGAGGTGCGAAATATGTTTGTGGTGGACGGGGATAGTTGGCAGGGTTGTAACCAGCAGGACCTGCACCGAAACCTGATATGGGAGCGAAGCCTTGCGATGAAGATGGCCTGGGAGGGAGAGCTGGGGGTTGTAGGCTGTTTCCCGAGTGATTTGGCAAGGGGGGACTTGTAGCCGGAGCGTAGGTAGGTTGGGTGGAATACTGAGGCTGAGGAGGATAAGGACCGGTTGGAGATGGTTGATAAATCGTGGGATTTGCTGGTCCAGATTGTTGTGATCCAGCTCCAAAGCTGGTGTCCTGAGCCGCATATGGAGGTGGGGGTGATTGTGGGATCACTGTCGGCACCGGTGTACCAT